CGGCACGTTAGCTATGATATGTTTCTCACCCTCAACTAACGTGTTTTTATGATGATGGTGATTACGATGATGTTGGATCTCGTTTAGACACAAATGAATCACAATAAGAAGTCACTCACTTCTCCTGGACGCTGGGGAACACAGAGTATATGTAACTAGATTGAGGTGTTTGTGCTCATGCTTTCGTAGATGGGTTATACAGATTTCCATATGGCCGTTACTTTAAGTCTCGTTGTCACAAGATGCTTTTGAATATTGAAATCAGTGAGCTAAAAGGTATGTATCTGTCATAAGTAGTATGCCGTCCCAAAGTACCGACGCTTCGCTGCCACGCGACCCCCACCGGTCTAGCGCGGGCTGAGTATACCTCGAGAACGCCCGGTCCTACGCGGATTCGAACCGGTGACCTAAGGATTACAAGCCAGGAGTGCGATTTTTTTCGGCCACCGGCCGGGTATGTATCTGTGTTCCTCCACCGATATGGTATTTGGCACGTACGTGCAATAACGCTGTTAATTAAAACGTACTATCAACATTGTTCGGCTGTACAACGTCCCATTCGGATGAGATGCACCCAAAACTTGTAATCCGCGAAATGGACGCTGAGAAATTTATTTGAATTCCGACACTGATTTCGTCTCAACTATTGTCTCGGACAAAGTGTTCCTCTATTTCAGCACTCGATGCTGTCCGCTTCAGATCCCATGGGCGCATGTACATAGGGAAGTCATCCACATATAATATCCCGTGGAATGTACAGCCCTAGTCTCCTGCATCGGTCTTCGTATCCGTTAACTAGGGATGAGCCTGGTAACAACATGCTGAACCTTTCTTCACCTCGCTTCGAATACTCTGATGAGGTATGGATGAGACGTAAGAGGGGCGATTGGCATTCTCTTCAAACCAAACGCAGTTGTGTTTAAGCGCTCAAAACATACTTGTTCCAACTCGGCGAAACCCGTTTTTGATTGCTAGTAATTAAACGGGTTTGGATATGAAACTATTTGGTTCATCCCAATTAGACTACAAACCACATAGGTGCACTACTAATCCGGAAAAACACCAGAGGATCGTTTCGTCCTATTGGGATTCGTTAGTGGTGCTCATTCCTTCGCTCCCCTGCTGTAGATCGAACCCATGGCCGTTAGTGGCTCGCACCACTAGCCAACAGCTTATGCCGTCGAGCCATGTGAGACGATAGCTGACCATCATGCATAGAACTCGAAATGCGATATAGCCCTACCAGTCTTCAAAATGCTCTGTGGATCCAAGGCACTGGCAAGTGAAGTCCTGACGCGAACGGCCAACCACTGTCCTCTACTTTGCTAGTAACCTGCATAGCAGTGGCAGGTGGACCGGTTAGATGTCAATCCGTGATGGTTGGCTATCATATCTCATGTCGCAGTGGCGTAAGCTGCTTGTTAGTGGTGCAAACCACCAGCGGTCATGGGTTCGATCCCCAGCAGGGGACCAAGGGAATGCTTACCACTGACGAGTCCCAACAGGACGTAACGATGGTCTGGTACCTTTCTGGATTGGTAACTCACCAATTCGGGTTGTAATCTAATTGGGATGAACCAAAACAAACCCTTTTTACTGTTCACGGACTTCAGATCGCAGCGTGATAGTATGCCTGCCTGTCAGGCGGATAGTATGAAATGTTCTGTGAACAGCGTACCTTCACCTATCACTAATCTTCCCTTGGCTCAAATGAAGGGTTGACTTGTTTGATCGACAAATTAATCTCTGTGGACCGAATAGAGTAAGGTTGAAATTTTGCCGAAGTTGTCGGGATAATGAATTACTCTTCAAATCGTACGTAAGCATGGCACAAGGCGATTGAAAAAGCTGAGGTATTTCGCTGACGTGGACCAAGAACGAAGAAGTTCCAGCACTGCGCATTGGAGTGCACCACTAATGTAATGACACCAGCTGTTTAGATAGTCATCCATCTATACTGTCCACTTTCTTCTGATAAGGAGATCGTTGATCCATTGATGTCGTGAGCCGCCATCCACGCACATACTCATCCTGTGGCGAAACATCTCGCGGTTCATCTTGTTGTACGCCTTACTGAAATCAATGTAGATAACGTAGTCCGGTGGCCGGAAGGATTGCACGTCTGGCTTGTAATTCTTAGGTCGCCGGTTCGAATCCGCGTAGGGGCGGACGTCTTCGTGGTATACTCAGCCCACTCGATACCCCGGTGGTGGTCGCGTGGCAGCGAAGCGTCGGTACGTTGTGCCGGCGTACTGCTGATGACTTCCTTTTTTTTGTTCCCTCGGTTCAGTCCTTGCAACCATCCATGCCTCGTCACCAACAAGTTGGTGACGCATGAACGGCTTTTCATGAAAACGTGTTCTGCGGGTGTAAGGAGGTCTTTCGACTCCAGCAACTGCATCTGACCTTTCAGCATGTTGGTCAAGACGGTGGTCAGTCAAATTGGCCGGTAATTGTCCACCTTACTGTCCTCACCGCACTTCAGCTTCACTACCGAGCGTTTCCAGTCGTTCGGCAATGCACTTTTGGCGAACGATCTGTTGACTAGATCAACAACGAAAGGCGTGATGATGGCCAGTATGGACTTGGGACCCGTCAAGACCGGCGAGTAGATTGCGTACATCTTTCATATCGCGATCCACGCTGTCGCGTTCGGTAGGGGCTGCTCACGTCTTACGCGGTACGGACACACCGCCGTTTACAAATACGTAAGCGCGCCGCCAATGCAAACGCACCTTGAGTGCTCGAAGTTAGAGGCTGTTCTCCAGTATCCTGCAACACTTGCGTTACCTGTGGACCTCAGGCGCCTCTTTACCTATGGAAAGATTCTTTTGATGATCGTCTTCCCTGTAGCTCCAAGCTGCTTTTCATTCTGCCGACGCTTCTGCGCTTTTACGTAAATTCCGCTGTCTCGTACATCGCGAACGTCGGCAGATGCAACTGACCACACTCCTTGTCGAACCGATGTGGCTTCACTAGCCCAGCTTTCTGACACTTGAGATGTACGAATCGTGCGCACAACAGTTTTGCATCCTTTTGTAATGAACCAACAAAATTCGACAGATGAGTCCTGCGGCAGCGACCAGTCTGCTTAACTAGCTGCTAGAGTAAGATCATGGAAGTCAGTTTTCCAATAGTTGTAGGATGGATCCAGTGGGCGCAAGTATAGCATCGTCATCTCTATGCTGGCTATGACAATGAATTGGTTACTGGCTGACACTAGCTCCAGGACCTGTATATCATACAAATCCCTATCCTTACTTTATCCACATCAAGTCTAGGTACGAAGGAGTTGAGCGCGGTGTAGTGCGCGCCAGTTGGCGGGTGTGCTTTGCTGCCCTAGTCTCAGATATCATTTCGGAAAACTACTTTGACTTCACAGAGCCCGGGGAGTAGTTAATTCTTAGATCATAATGTCCAAGGTAAGTTAAAATCACCTATGAGGAAGAATCGGGGACAACTCATGCGGTTTCGGACATGAGACAATTAGTCCAAGCTGCGACTTCGCGGGCTACAAGAGGCTACACCTACTACCAGTTCACCACATCTTTGGTGGATCGAGCACTATAGTCTACGCTTTGGTAGTTGCTTACTAGTTTTCCGCACTAGGAAGACCGGGTGTATAGCATCATGTCACAGCGGTCGTTTGATTTTTTGTCGCAACGGAAGTACGAGTAGTTACTGAGCTGGACATCCTGTACAGTCACCTCAGGATTTAACCTAGTCGTAGCGAGTACTGGAACGTCTGGCCGTCGAGAGACGACGAAATGGCACAGTTCGTCACGCTTGTTCATTAGACTGAAAACATCAGTGTAAGTTACTCGCCGACCACTGCAGGAATTGTCGGTCGCTCATGAAGCGTCATCGAGCTGTTGGTCCAGATCCAACAAACCCGATAAACTATACGAACATTTACAATGCGGAGATGGTTTTTCCACCCGTCAGTACACCGCTTTGGCTCAGTGGTAGTAGTCTTGCGTTTTTCCCTGATCTGACCGATCCATATTTGGGCGAATATGGATCCTCAACATTCTTAGTCTATCGATGTGAGTTAATATCCACATTGGGCTAGCTTCATTCACGAAAGTGAATCGCATAGGCCAATTCTCATTTTCATCCCTCTTTCCGATATTGGTGATTTATTTCATCCTAGTCCCTGTTCCACCGAGTTGATAAGTCTGTAAATCCTCCAAGAGCCCTTGACACTGGTCCACCACTTCATTGAGCTATACTTTTTTCGGTACGCTACCAGTCGACCGCGTCCACGAGTCATCGTCATTTGTCATTGACCCCCGTCAAGTGACCGAAAGGACAGCACCATGGCATCAGTTGAGGTTGAACCCAACGTTTACTTCCTTGTGGTCGACGCAGTAACGGTTTGCAGGTAGTCGTAAATGGCGTACGCACCAGAACACTGTGGGATGCACAACTGAAACAAGCCACTCGTATCTACCGAGTCAGCTGACCGCCTTCGAGCCCTCCAGCCGAGCTTCTGTGCTGTCAGCAAAGGAGTTGTTTACTTTTTGTTGTGGAAAATGCTGTTTATATGGAAGATAACCAACAATAAAACGTTCCTGGTTTGCCAGGAGAAGTTCCTTTGCGACACACGATTCCCCCAACTAATTGCAGATTTTCGATCGGTTGTGACCCCATTTCAGTAGTTGAGTTGGTGGTAACAGAAATATAGCTCCCTGACTGAGTAGTAAATGTAACCGGCTTAATGGCTTCGTTGTTCCATGTCTTGGCAGTGGTTATTGCGAACTAATTTCGTCGGCGATTTCTTTTTCTTCTGATACTGGTTGGGCTTATGATTTTGTGGAATAGCATTTTGTTATCAACCTGAATAGCAACGCATTGGCTGATCTATTAGTCATACACCATAAACTCAAGCTTTTTATGTTTTACTTACTCGTACTCTTTATCACAGATATTGCGTCTGTTGCTGCTTCCGCTTTATGCGTTGTTCTTGAGGTGGTGAATTGCTGCTCTTTTACTTATAGGGGTAATGGAAATTTTTTTTTGGCGCAACCGGCCTCTGTTGCTGGTACCCCGGTCATGTTGGCACCAGGCCAGTCGGCTTCCCCTGGGGCTTTTGTCGTGGCTCAGTCCCTCTCCGCTCCGGCAACTTCCATTGCATCCACTTCTACCCAACAGCAAGCCAGTTGCATTATTCGTCTGCCGGACGGGCGTCTTGTTATGCCTGCACATACCCCTATGCCCATGGGACTCTCGGGAGCACGCTTGACTGGAGGTCAACCGGCTTATTTTCCCGTTTTACAGGCCGCTGTTCCGTCGGGTCAAAATGTGTCACTTCCTCAACAGCCCCAGCTCCACCATCCCGTCGGTGCGATCGCGCCTACTCCCGGCCAGGTTAGTTTCGTTCTCCTATTGGTCATTTCAAAAGCGCAAATGGATTCTTGCCCATTTATTCATTCATCTCGAGATTACTTTGAGCATAATACAAGACTTTCGAACCCTTTTCATCTCTTATTAGGCAATCTGGTTCTCTCATCACTCATGTTCAGTCGATGATATGCACAAATCAGTGTAGTATCTTTTGACACACCACATTCAGATTACTTAAATTTCAGCCGATGCTTAGTAACTACTGAGAATCAGCATGAAATAGCACATGTGCAGCCGTCCACGGAGAGTTTTTCATGAGAGCAGGTTTTCCGCGTCCGGTTGAAGCACACCAGCAATCGTAACTGCATTTCGCCATGGATTCGGGATCACCTGTAATCATCATCAGCATCAGCAACAGCGTCATCATTACACATTAGCTGCTGAAGCTGTGAAACACACTTCAACTATTGTTGTGCCATAATACACAAGACATACGAACAAAGCAAACTGCTACAAGTTACAGAATGCAAAAATGCAGTCGACAGACTACTTAGTAACATATCATGCGTCAAAGGAGAGATCGTGGTTGAAGGGGGAAAATGAGCTGGATTGGGAAAGACAAAAAACAACAACACAAATGCCGTTGAGATCGGTTCCTTGCCATGTCAACTAGTGGATCCAACCAAACGTGTTCATCATGCTTCGGACCCCAGCCAGGCAGTTGGGACACATCAACCTGCGCCAACCAAAGTGATGGATTTCATTCCTTTTGGCCACCTGTAGTCTTCTATCCAGACTTCAGGCGCGAAAATGTCACACGTCGCTGGAGTCAGTGAGCTGGCGTGCGCAACGCGTAGCCTAGCCGTCGGAGCCTGGTGCGTGATATAATGGTGCTGAGCAGTTCACTAGCTCTTCCTGCACCAAATACACAACGCCGAACACGCTGGTTGCTCACGCGGTGCTCCCACCAGACATAAGCTAAGCTGTGAAAGCAGCGATGATCGAACTTGTGTAGCCTGTTTATGTCTGTCGATTTGATGGGCCAGGCCTCGCAACCGTATAGTAGGGTTGAACGGACGGCTGCATTATAAGCTGCCCTTCAGGTTGAGAGTGTTGTCGCGTCGGCGTCACAGATGACAAAGATTGACAATTCCCTCCTCTTGTTGTAATGTCAAATGTTTCTTCTCTTCTGTCCTGTCTCACTCCCATGAATGCAACTTAAAATGACTACGCTTGAGCCTCGATTTTTGCCACAAAAATAAGCTAGTCGGTTTGACACTCCTAGTCGCTATTCGGTGGGAATGGGAACATCATCCCAATGCTGTGGTCCTCCTCTGCACGAGACACCGCTCGAGACATGCGGTCATGTGTCAGTATTGTTAGGGTCGTTCGTTTTGACCCCAAAACCGAACTGACAGATATTAGGATGGACCAGTTATCTAGTTTTCTCACCTTGCAGGAACTGGAGCTGGGTTTGGGTTTTCTCAGTTACACTGACTATTTTTACTGACCAGCGCTCCTAAACAACTTTGCAGGTTCTTCTCAGTCAACTCTTCAGTGTTGCGAGCATTGCTGCTGATTATTCAGCTGGATCGATTCTGTTGTTTTAATTAAGCGATTAAAACCTTAGAAATTTCATTCATGTATGGTACACCTCAAGTTATACAAACTAACAATTTCGACCGATTCTTGATATCTTTGCGGCCATTTCGACCTTCACCTGGTTAATGCACTTCGTCTCTGGCAATTGATGATTATACGCCAGAGTGCAAGTAACTAGCTCCACGGTTGATTGACGGGTCTCAGTATTCGCCATGTGTCCGGACTGCGACACGCAATCTCGTTTGAAGCTGCCATGTGCTTTGAAGCAAACCTATGCGATTTCGATCACTGGGATCTCATCTGAAGTGGAGTTTCGGAGCTGCTCTCTCCAAACAATGCACACTATGACCGACCGGTTTCGCTCTGCTTTTGACTCTAGGTAAGCAGTGAATTCCGATACATAGTGGTTTGACGGCCTACGACTTGATTCTAAGCCAGAACTCCACAAGCAGCGTTGTGTTTGGGCTAGTGTTAGTGCAAGATCGAATTTTATCTTTGTGCTCATGGCTGCGTGCTGGGCTCGGGTTCAGCACAGTGCTCCGTCACCCGAAGTTTCTGACGCTTCGATACTTTTAGTTTTCCTTATTTCGTTATTGATCTCGGACTGAGGATGTGTATGGGATACCGCAACAACTGCAGCCTGATCTTATGCATCCAAAGCCCAACTAACCCCTTTCTGCTGTGTCATGCTTTTTCAATTGTTTACCTGTGACGGCCCAGCTCGTGAGAGGATATCATCACTTGTTCCTCATTCGTCATCCTTTGCTTCAACTCTTAGTCATTTAAAGTTGTCTGTCTTCCATTCAGGCCTTTTTCATCCAAGTTCCCACGGCGCCTGGCGGATTCACTGGGACTGTGTTTGCGACGACTGCGACCCGCAGCAGCACTACTGCTTCGCCTCAGGCGCCACAGACCGCATCATGTGCTGTCACGGCTCCCGTCCAGAACCGACATCCCATCCTAGTATCCTCTCCTCTACCCACACTGCAGTCGACAGGGGTCATGTCCACCCAGGGTGCCAATTCAGTGGCGCATAGTCGGCCACCATGCTTGTTGATCTCATCCGCCCCCATTTGTTTGCCGGACACGCGGACTTTGCAGGTGAGCCGGTGCAACAAGAGTGTTAAACTTTGAAACGATTTCCGTAGCTTGGCGGTTTCCTTGTAATCGTCCATAGTTTGAATAGGAACTCGATGCATAGTGTATACGTATTTCATCCACTGATGGTTTGCGGCAGTGCGTTTTCTACTCCCATAAGACTTTCCTCATTTGTCCACATCTATACATTCATTCACATTCACATCGCACTTCGGCTCCTCGATGAACTTTGCTATACTAAACAGCGATTGATTATGAACGATATTTTTTGTCTGGTCTCTAATTCCGTTCGAAATTTTACCTTGGACTTCCCATAGAGTCAGTCAAAGACATGCGCAATGGACAATTGCGTAACGCTTATGAACAGTGCACAACCCTCGACCACTGCTTTTTCTGGTGGTGGGATCGCCGTCACTCGTCTTCCTAACGGAATGTACACCACAGTGCCTTATTGTCGACCGCAGTCACTAGGGTCTGTCGACGCCTATACTTCGTCAAGCGGAGAAACATTTCCCGCAACTCCACCACCGCATACCACCTCTGTACGTAAGTGTTCCAGCGGCCGTTCCACTCAAAAACCAAACAGTGGTCCAAATTCAACCTCCAACGTATTGCAGCGGTTAGATGAGCAAATAACCGCCCTGCAAGCTGTGTGCAATCCATCGGAAACGCAAGCGACGCGCCTCAAACAGCTGATTGACGTAAGGCAACAGCTCTCTCGGACTACTAAGACCGAAATATCTGGCTTTCGGTCACCTTCGACTGGCTCATCCTCGGCTACTACCGATGTGCCGTCAATCAGCCCTGCAGCGGTAAATACCCATTTCTTCACTAGATTTTTGGTTTTCCGATGCACCGGTTTCACGGTCTAAATGTATGAGTGGTTTGCTCCTTTGCATTTTACGTTACATCTGGCGACTCACTCTATCCCTTTCTTGTCTGTCGGCGTTATATGACCTATAAGGAATGATTACTCAGTACCTTCATTGACGTATTTTTTTGTCTCATTTTACGGGCGGTTTAGATAGTCTGCATTGTTCGCTGACTTGACTCTCCAGCTGATGATAACCAACACTACGCGAGTTTTCTTAGCCCATTGAAATGTTTTTGCGTAATAAGAGTTGTCGAAAATAGTGAGCGCTTGCATTTTCACGAAAGCTGTTCTACCACAATGTGTGAACATTATAGGTACGTGTGCTGGGACTCATCGCGTTGCACTGTGGTTTGCAGTGTACTGTGAGACACTAGTGCCGACAAATGGTGTTTGTCAAACTCTGTCTTATCTGGACAACCAAAAAGCTGCCGATGCCCCCAATCAAAACTATTTAACGGGTTTCCGCCACAACTCATTGCATTTACCAATTCATCTGTACCTTCAGAAGCAGTTAGGTTGGCAGAACAGATCATTGTCTGAGTACGTAGATTGGAGAGCACATTCTGAAGCGAATTGCTGGGCTGATGGCACAACAAGCAGCTGGACAAGGAGCAGCAAGCAAGCTGCCAGCATCATCCACCGCCAGACATCTAATCAGTACAGGTCATCAAGTTGACCCTGGGCCAACTTTTACGCTTATCTCCCTAAACAAAAACGCCAGGGTGCTGAAGTTTGCCGTGGCTGTGTCCCTAAATCGTTACCGTCCCACCCTTTGTGTGCAGAAGCAACTGACAGTAGCCCTTAAGCTTCCTTGGGGTTCATGACCTTTGCCCCAGTGCTACCAGCTATTGTTTCGTGTTTGTGTGCATTTTTTTCTGACCAATTCAAACCGTTCGTTTCCTTCCCTCGTGATCTACATATGTGTGTTGTTACTTGGCAAGTGATCAGATAACACGAAATGGTGCCATTTTTGCAGTGCTTGCCTTATTGTTTTGTTCAGACTGACACAGGGAACTCGATGCTTTAAATTTGCTAGAATTGTCTCGTTCTCACTCAATCTCATTGCAGATTCTATCATTATGTTCACTTGTATAGTTACAAGATACAGTCTTCGACTTCCTGTCTGCAGGTATCTAGTTGCTTGGTCCGAGAAGGGGATATTTTCTTTCTGTTAGAATATCGCGAGCAAGCAAAGTCAACTTATTACCGAACGCGTGAAGCGGTTCTTTGAGCTTTCAAAGTGTAGAGTGCTGTCACAGGACCACCACTTGCTAATCATTTGATTCACCCCGTCGATGAGTAGTGATTGTCTATCAGTTCACCAGTCGCAATGAGACCAGGCCTCATCGCGACGAGACTGGGCACTAAAGTAGTACGGTAGTTTGTGTGGCTCAAGAATCTATTGAGCTATGCTGGGTGGTGCTTCTTGAAACTTCAGAGTCAAGCACACTAGATTGGCCAATGGTTAGAGTGTAGACATATTCAATCGCTTGACCCTCCAGGTTGGGGGTTGGAGTGAGAGTGGCTCCTTGCTCCATAAAACGAACTATCTGTAGCGAATTGTCAAAACCTTGCTGCCGCGGTCAAGTTTTTGAACCCAATGTCATTCTGCTGCATAGGCCTGGACATTCTGACAGTATCCTGCTCAAGCAATACAGCGTCCTGTCCGTTACATGGAGCATAGTGGATAGGTGTGGGATGCTATTGCTCACGCTTTCTTGTCTTCTTATTCCACCTCATGCTTTTTCGTGTTTACCGTTCCGTTTCAACTTCATTTGTATCCCATTTTCAACCCTTAATTTTTAAATCCTAACTTGCTTAGATAGGCGTTTGTCTTCCAGTTTCAACTCAAGCAAACGCTGAGCATCACTCCTTTTCGGTCGACAAGCTCATATCCAACAATGCGAACACCGTCAGTTCATCCGCTTCTGCTTGGAACCCTCCATTCTCCTTAAGACTGGCATACCTCAACCTATGCACGTAGCGCTGTTTGATTTGAAGCACAGGTGTGGACACTGACCACGTACTTTTATGTGGTGTTCTGTGGGTGCGTTTTGGCGGACTCCCACGACGATACTTTGAGCACTGATGAAGCTAGATACTCTGAGTTCGTACAAAAGTGCACTGTCTTTCGGTTTGAGTAAATGCTCACTGAACGCAGCTGAAGATCGCGGGCGCATATTCACCACTGCATTCGCAGCAGATATACTTCATGTGGTAAATCTGTAACTTATAGATGCTCTCCAAAGCGGTCTACGTCTGTGCGAACACAGAGTTTCAAATTTCTGGGCGCAGATTTAAACGCTGGCCTGAAGAAAAAGCACGAAGCCTGCTGCTCTCATGGTACATCGGAATTGGTAACCTTCGGAAGCTATTCCGTCTGATACGGGTAACGGGCAGTGGGAGTTCTGATGTTAGCTAGACTAAATGCGAGGTTGGTCAGCCTGTCAAATGTTTGGATCGTTGGGCTGAGGACAATGTGAAGCAATTTAAGCGACTGGAACTATTCGATTTACTGACGGATAACGACTGCTCTGGATCCACCTCCTGCCGCAGATGTCGAATATGAGTTTGGAGTGCTGAAGCTGCGTAAAGCCACGGTAGCAGACTAAGTTCCTCCATCCATCTTCAAATTTCGCTACCTGCTCTTGTGGACGAGTTGCACTATCTACTAGCGGAAAGGGAAAGGTAGGTATCTTTCCTAATCAACTAGTGCTGCTCCGTTATTGTCGCGATTGTCAATGGAGTTTCACGTTTAGAATGCGGCGGTCATAGAGGTATCAGTCGGATGTCCATCGTTTCCATGTTGCTTGCCTCTGTCTTTCTTCGCAGACGTACTGACATCCCTGAAAGCCAGATTCGTGAAGAGCGGGTCAGGTTTCGTCGGAAAAGGGGCTGTATTGACCTAACTTCACTTCACGCTAGTTATGGAAGCACCGCAACCGCAATCCATCTTATCAGGGTTCCTCTACTTTGATTCGCGTTGGTTCGTTGTTCCCTTTGGGGTGTGCCAGAGAAATGGGTAGACACGATCAGTGAGGGCTTATGGTGAGCAGTCACCACCAGCGGTGTGAAACAATTATACCCGTTGACGCCTTCTTATCTTCGCCATTGATGAAGCTTTGAAGTTGCACCCAAGTGATCGACCTGTTGACTTAGAGTATGCCGAAGACATTATCCTAGTCTGTGATGCCTCACAAACGTGCTAATCAGCACTGGACAGATTAGCACAAGCTATGAGCCGTTCTCTGCTGTGCTTTACACCTTTTAAACGCAAAGCTTTCCTCCAAGATTGGCATTAACCGCTCTCTTCACTGGCCACCGTTGGGGATCAACTGGAAGTCGTTCAGCAATCAACAGCCTTTGTAGCTGTATCAGCGCCTTGGGAATAGAAGTTGAGATCACGAACCGTATAGCAAAAGCTCGATATGCTTTAACTAACCATTACCACCTATGTTGGTGGCGCGACATCACTCTCGTCCTGGAGAATAGATTATACGATGTAGCCCACGTTCAGCCCTCCTGTACGGTTGTGGAACTTGACTCGTCAGGTCGAGACTTTAAGAGGCTAGTCGCAATCTACTACCGGTATCTTCGCAACTGAGCTCGCATCACATGAGAAATGAGCGTTTTTGGCATCTTGTTTATAGTGCAGTAACTGAAAGTGAACCGATCAGCACCGTTATTTCACACACCAGGCTTCGATGACTGGAGCACGTCTTTCGCATGCCAAAACACAAACCCGCTACCTTTTTATGTGCGATTGGGATGTGGTTGGAAGGCGTGAAGAGGAATTTAGCTGATGACTTGGCCAAGAGGATCAAAGGCCTTTACTTCAAAGTTGGCTTCGGTTGGAGACTCGATTTCCCGGTTAAATTTGGTTGTATACATTTGTTGACATGACCAGAAGCGGTTGGCATAGCAACTACTTTTGCCGCCCGAGGCGGTGGTAAAATTTTGGCCGGACTGAGAACAGAATAGGCGCGTTTAAACCACCCAATCTGCTCAGGGTAAAGTGCACATTAGTTTTCACTGAGAAATGGATGATCTTATGAGACACTGAAGCAAATGTGGTGGAAGTGACCACAATGGGACAAGTAGGGAGATTGCTGGGAAGAACGTTTGCACAGGTGTGACACATGGCGCAAATGTGTTGTTGGTTATCCAGATTGACACTAAAATCTTCAACCCTCTGCTAATTTGGGAATTTTGCCTTTTTATATTTGGTAGCAAGCAGTCGATGGTACTAAAAATGCCGCCCGCAGCGGACCGTCCTCTTGCAGCTCCTCTGCTAGGAGCCGACCTCAGTGGCGTTTGTGTCGTGAGTTTCTTTCTCATACCGCATCCTTTCTAGCCCCTTGCGGCCACGATCTCGTTGCCAATGCGTGATACAAAAAAACAAATCATTATTCTAGCTAGGTTATTTTTGCTTTGTTTGTTGCTTTTTTGACGTGCCTTGAATTGTATTGCGACATATTAGCGGGTTTTTCTCACCTTTAGCCAACGTTTGGAATAAGGATAAATGCAGCTGTGTAGGCGGTTTCATCAACATCGAACGGCACATGGCTGCTGATGCTGCTTTACATGTTGGGAAACCTGGAGCTGCTCTCATCATCTTACGGAAGCTGTGTGGCCATGAGAGAATCTTTTCCGAGGTGAAACACTTGTATCCCTAGCGCAGAGGTTTACATACGAGTGTTAGGCAAGGATAATCGGGTTAGCTTATTCCTTCCTTAAATAGTTTTGAATAAGTTGTGTGAAATCCGATGCTTGGTACCTACATATACTCAGTGTTTAATTAGGAGTGCTTCGCTTCGTTTGCTGAACATTAACGTGTCTTGATGGATTCATCGTTGGCTCGGCTACTGCAAATGTGATATCAGAAGTAAAAGACAGCTGGGCGAACAAGCTTGTTTTCGGTGGTTCTTATCAGGCCCTTACCACGCCACGAATAGGAACACAACTAACATAGCGCATTTAGATGAGATGAATCAATAAAGCGAATTACCCACTTAATGAGATTAAGTCATGGCACTGGCTGGCGCACCATTAATGGTGGGGTTAAAAGCCTCGTCGTTGCACGGAGCAGCTTGGGGCTAGGGTAATTGAAGGGCCTGGACGAATTACTTTTAGGCGCATAAGTTGGGGTTATGGAACCGAATAGCGATCGCCTCCGCTGTCGCCAATAGGCAACATCGGAGGGCTTGTGTGTAGCGTCGATATCCGGTAGATCGGCTGGAATGTCTCTCGCACGTTGATTTGGTGATTAATAATAATAATAATAATAATAATGATGATGTGTCAGCTGTACACCGTAACGGCGCTTCGCTGCCGTTCGACCACCACTAGTCGCACGCGGGCTACACCGCGATGACGCCCACTTCATAGGCGGATTCGAACCCGCCCCGCAAGATTACGAGACATGCTCGTTAACTCTAGGTGATTCGAATCGGCCAAGTGCCACAGCGCGGCGCTCGTTAGTCTTGCGCCGGTATAGAGCCGCGCCGGGCAATGTTCTCGGACGCTCTCAGACAGTCGTTTGGTCGTCTTGCTCGACACGAGCAAGAAAAGTGATACACACAGAAGGAAATATTCGACCTGTCTTTGAGTTGTTGGCTCACGACTAGTTTAGAAGTGAAGCTGACACGGAGATCAGCTGCATAGTGGGTTCACGCGGTGGCGTTGGAAAGCCTTTGGGTGACTCGTTCCGCTAGCACGTCACCCTTGAAAGGCAGATCAACCGCTTTCATGCGGAGACAGGTTGGACTTTTGGCTCTTCTAGCTCCATGTGTCTCCGAATGAATTTGTCCGGGTGATCATTCTGTTCGAGAACGCTCCGTATGAAGCTCAACTCATCTGGGAGCGTGTCCTCTGTACTTATCCTCCTCACTAGTTCCATTAGACAGTAGACGAGGTGTCATTTCTGACTTAATGGAACAAAACTGGTGAAGTGGATATACTGACCGCTCCAAGTTTTCTTTCTGTGCACTCTCCTCTGTTCTGGCCCGTCCGATGTCCTGGTGATCTGCACATCTAAGAATGGCAGGGAGTTGTTACTTTCAAGTTGTATGGTGAACACTATGTTGTGTGCAGCGTTGAAGTGAGTTAGCAGCTTTTCAATGCATACCCGGTTATACGCAATACAAAATATGTCGCCAACGTACCGGCCATGGTATACGAGGTTGTTGATACATTCGCTTAACTTGGTGTTCTCCAACTTATGCAAATATCAGCGAGTAGCGGTCCTAATGGTGAACCCGTAGCTACTCCGTCTGTTTGTCGGTAAAGCGTCCCATTAATCTGGAACTGAATGTTCTTAGTGCACGCCAGCATAACTTGCCTCAATCGGTCATTTGGAATACTTTGACTTGGTGCAACTGGATAAAGTCGCAGAGATAATCAATGGTCTTTTTAAGGGGACGTTGGTGAAAAGTGACGCCACATTTAGCGAAAACATCTTCCGTCCAATTAGCTCGAGTTGTCACTAGGTTCTTGATTTCTCTGTTTCCGATTTGGTATCCGAAGCCACCAACGAGCTCTTATGCCCTGATAATCTCGCCCCATCTTATGACAAAACGTCTACAATCAAATTGCCCAGCTTGATGAGCCACACAACGACTGAACAGCCAACCTGAGCTACCCAGTACTTCCAGCTATTCGAAGCCTGATCACTATTTTAACGATTTCTCGCGCAATTTCTACCTAAATAATTGGTCACGATGTTACACTCCCTACCTCATTGAATTTGCCGGACCTCAGCTATTCGACAATTTTTGTACGACCAGCTTTCAAAACACGCAATAGTCCATTTGTCCAAACCTACTCTGCCATAGATGTGTACCTTCGCACCACGTTGAGGTATTTTGCGTGGTCTGTAACCACTGTTTTATCGCGGCACAATAGCTGAAGTGCTTTCCACCTCTAGCTAACGTGTATAATGATCTAATGACGACTAGTGGTGTTGTTGTAATCAACCGATTATAACTCGGCATTGACCTTCTCAATTCTCGCTATCTATATGTCGTATAGTTCGATGCCTTAACAGCCAAACTCCACTTATTGCTTGCTATGCTTGTTGGGTTCAGGCTGAACACCTGTTTATTTTCACTTTAATCGTCTGTGCTACAGTTGTTCACTTCCCATTGTTTACCCGCTTTTTGAACCTTTCATGCCGCCTATACTGCAAATGCTTGCTATCGTTTCTTTGCTCACACACGCGACTTTATTTGTTTTTAATCGGTGGGTTAAATAGGCCAGGTTTTAATCACACTTGAATAGTGCACTCTCGTATCAGCAATTCTCTGATCCACCTATATTCCGTCTGCTCTTCGATATATTTGTTTGATCCTATCGCCGCCCCTTTGACTGTCATTATCTTTGCTCTCTACTTTCAGCGCCGGGACATTTTAGGTATACTTGGACGAAATAATTTATTACCCAGAGTGAATTCTACCACCACATCCGAAACATTCGTTGTCGAATTTCGACTAAACCAACATCGTTATCAAATGCGTTTAACTCGGCAGCAGAAGGTCGACATGGAACGATTGTTATTCAGCGTCAACCCAGAACGCCAGGCCGAAATATTGACCGTTCTGCAACAAGAACAAGCTCGCACTAATAGCACGCGTGTTCTCCTCCCAAACCCTTCAACACCGCAACCGGTGATTCAATCAGTCGGGACTGTTTCTTCCAATTCAAGGCCTAACTTGCAGTCGCATACCGTCAGAGTTCCACCGCATACACAGTCATGCAATTCCCTCCCTTCCCATCCAATCCATCCAACTGCCTTTGGATCTCCACCCACATTGCGACTTGTCGCCCCACGTCCTACACTGCCAAGCAGCAACGCCCTAGTTCGCAGTGCGCCTGTCACGATGTGCTCTACAGCCCCGGTTATGGGGGTGGTGACCGCCTTAACAATGCCTCCCATGGCAGCTCATAGTTCAGGTGCGTTTCCCCTGATGGTCTGACTACAATTAATTAGTTTTCGCTTTCGCTTCTACCGGGATTCTTACCTGAGTAAGTAGCGCACTTGTGCTACTTCATGGACAAACCAAACCACATCTACGGTGTTGTTATGGGTTCTCTTCGTATGATGCCCTTTGCGCCACAGGATAAACCTCCTTCCGGTTTCGACGTGCACCTCTTATCCGGCCAGTTCGGCGCTTTCGACACTATTTCACAAGTGCTTCAACAACCAGTAATAAGGTGTTCTGCCACATATGCATTAACTATTTTCTCTGAAAACTCCTTCTTTGCCTTTTGGCCATTCCGATTAATTACCTCTTGCGTACATTGTCATATACTCGCTCTTTCCCTTCCAGTTTTCCCTCCAACTATTAGCGGAGCGGTATCAGTTAGCAATGCTACTCTACCACCCATCTCCGGTTCGGCTCCCACAGCTAGCGGACTTTTCCTTTCCCCATCCCTGCCCCATGGAGCACAGACGTTTATTATGCAGCAGCCCTTCGTGGTCCCCTCCACATCAATACCCCCTGCGGTGTTACCCGTCTGTTGCAGCGTTCCTTCGCAATCATCGTCGCAGCTATTGGATACCTCCTCAACCATTCCCCAATCCGTCCACTTATCAACCTCCACGCTGAGTGTGGTGCAACCTGTCCGTCAGGCTTTCACACCCCCAAAACAGGTAGGACTGATCTTATCTTCACATGTTTACCCTTTTCATGATTTGCTCTTATTGTTCTTAAGATCTGACTGTCATCTTTTTGGATTGGTCGGACCTATACAACCAACGTGTCACCCTTTATTTTAGGCTCTTCGTCTAAACCGAATGCGCGCTTATCTGGTGAACGATTTGAAATCATCGGTTGAGCGGCCACCACACCTCGATATCAAATCGGATGCCCCCGCTCCACTTCCTTCGCCCCTGCAACTCTTAGAAGCCCTTGCACCATATCACGTTCACCAGGATGCGGATAATACAGATGAAGCCTTACTGAAAGGTAGTATACTAGTCCCTTTTTGCGTTTTTCTGTTCTCTTCTCGTTTGCCATGTGAGATTTTTTCAGCGTCCTTAACCGCTTCTGAAGCGGCGATTACGTAAGGAAGGGCGGATGAAAAGCTTACAAGGCCCACGGGTCTCTTTGTGAACTCGTCGTTGGATCAATTGGTGGATATAAGAGCCACGATCTCAGGATGTACTAGTGGCTTCAGTGGTCCAGGACTCTATTTTGACTTCCGTTTTACCTCGCTACGCATTTTTAGACGCTCCTAACCATCTGCCCCGTACGTTAAATCGCCCTTTTACCCTGAAAATAATGTCTTTACAACATATGGACCCGCGTTGGGTCCACATGGTCAACCTCCTGCCTCCGTATGGGTAATCAAGTCTCTATGTTTGCGCAATCTATTTATCATTGCTTCAGCTACATTTACTCTCTAGGAACGTTATCTCCCACTTGTGATGCTGGTGATCGGACTTTTTGACGCCAACACACCACTTGGAGCCTCAGTCGTCTGGCAGCCGTAAACAAATTGACCAGGTCGCCATCAATGCCCCTTGGTGATGCTACTTAATAAATTCAAAATGAATATTGCGTAATTACCTTGCATCAAACTGTTGTGTGCTTTAGTGACACCCAACGATGCCACCAGAAGCAACTTTGCTCAAACGTTCTCAGCGGCTCAAATGCTCTCCATTTTCAGACATCTAAGACGAAATGGGGCACACGTTCCCAGCATCATGCACAAATCGTCTAGTTTAGCTACGATTTCACTAGAACTTCTGTCACCTACTGGATCTCTGTACGAGATCCTCGGGTTCTTCAGTTCCGCCGTCATTTATTTGGCATTAAGCACAGTTAATTACGCAGTGCTACTGACATATACCTCAGACAACTCCTCAATAAGTATTGTGAAATCCGGCAGGTGCGTCATATCCTGGAGATTCATAATCCGCTGCCCCGAGAAATTATCGTACATAGTTCCTTCTGATCTCATTCACTGGTGACAGTAGGCTGACTTGGAGTGAAGTTCTATGCAACCCCCTAGCTGTTGGATATCAGAATTATCCACGCGGTGTTACAATCGGATGCGAACGCTCCGTAAGCACCGTCATAGATCATGATCAGTTTCCTAAAGCCTTCGATAAGAATGCTTCATATGTTTGTACCATGAGGCAACACCAGCCGCATTGCTGCGTCATGTAGCCTAATCTTAATTGATAGGCTAATAACTTTGCCGTTTCCATAGATTTGTAGTCTCTTGAAAGCCACGAGCGACTGATGGTGGTCGCGCGGCGGCAAAGCGCCGTTACGGCGTACAGCTGACACATTATTATTATTATTATTATTATTATTATTATTATTATTATTATTACATAGATCTTCGGTGATCTGACCATCTAGACAAGTGAACTTAACGACTAGTTTGGATATCTATGCGGTAATTCCTACTCTTGGCGACAGTCATGCGTCAGCATCTTGATGATGCAGGTATACAGCAATGAACGGCGCTCCTAATCTATTATACAATAACACTTATATGAGGGCTGCGCCCATCCCAAATGCTACATATTGTATATACCCCTGCTTGTTAGTTGATAACTCAGCACCTAGATGGTCAAAGAGCGCGCATGGTGGGGGAAACGCGCTCTCGGACATGACCAAGAATTGCAGTCAGTTGCGATTGTGTTGTGAATACTCCAGTAACATTTGTTTTATGCACCTTTCGCCTTACTGCTTTCGTTTACTTATCAGAATATTCTACCAAATATGTTACCGCTGGCCACTAGATGAATAACTACATAAGTGGTGTTATCCGTGTTTCTTTTCGCGATTGTAATCATTTCACTTGGATTGATTCTATTCACTAAAGTTCACTTCTACTTCTGCCTTGTGTGTTGGTCTCATTCTTCCTTGCTTCCACGGCACACCTGCCGCTTATAATGTTTGTTCGTTTGGTGCACCCGTTGCGTGGATAAATTGCGACACGCACCCTCCATCTGGACCGGGATTCATCTTGAACTAAATCACGGTCAGTACGTTCACTGAGACCATCTTCGGACTTGTTTGTATCGACCAAGCAGGACTGCGACTCGAACCTCTTGTATACTTTGTAGCCACCATTTCACTTTCTGTGGCTCATCCCGTCAAATCCATGTTTATGTCTCTCCGTGGAATTTACACTCGCCTTCCGTATTTTTCGCCTCTTTTCCCCCATAGTGAATCGAATCATAGAAAATGCATCCATATGTCTCAGTGAACGCAAAAGGCGGATCACAGATGCTGTTCATGCTTATTGGTACCGCGAGTCCACGGTATGTCGCGTTTCAACGCCTGTGCTCTACAACACTGTCCTTGTGTCCTTCCTCAGGTCATAACGCGGAGGATTAAGTGTGCAATAGATAGATCATCATATCCTAAGAGTTCAGATCACTGAATTTTCCTATGGTACTAACCAGTATTTTGACTACATTGTTGCGATTAAGCTCCCTTGTTGCTCCATTTTGTTGTGAGCAACTCGGTGTATTTTCTAAAACGATATCTAAAATATCAATTGCGAGATTTTTTCTCTTATGTGCACCTCTTCAGGTATGCACAGTTGTGGGTTGGATCTGTTGGCTATCTCAACCTTGGCACAGATTTGGCACATGGTACAATTAATGAGGTCCATAATCCCATCCTTGAATCCTCCTGATATCAAATTCGAACTGAAGCCTCATTTAATGTTTCCTACGTCGTGTTGAGAAAAAAACAAAGTATTCAATATGCGCCGATTAACCGCGACTGAGGCCATCGCAATCAGATACTTACGATCGTGACTGTGCGAGCAGAGGGTGCTCGCACTTGATGCACCAATCACCGAGGGATTGGTCTACTTTCGGTTGCCTCCAAGCTATTGGCATCCATTCTACTCCGTAGACTATCCCCATTCGTGAATCGAAGTACCGCGAAGAACAAGCTGACTTCCGACCTGGTTGCAGGTGTGTGGATAAAATATTCACACAGCCAAATCCTGGAACACCGCCACCTTTATCAGAAGTCTGCTATCGTTGCATTCCCGGACATCCGTGCCACATTCGACTCGTTTGATCCACCTGCGCTATGGCGTTGTTTGCTAAAGAACGGGGTCCCAGAAAAGCACACTGCCATCCTACTCGCGCTTTGTCTCCATATCTAGCAGAGTGTAAGTCTATAACAGGCTTTCATCGTCCTTCGCTGTTAAAAGCAGTGTATGTTGCTCTATGTCCCTGTTCCTCTTCAATTTTGCGGCTGAAGACTTGTCTGGAGCTTTAGACCGTTACCAAAATTTTAGTCTACAGACAAGCGAGTGACCCACTTCGAGTATACCAATGATATTGCCCTACTTGGTGACGACTCAGAGCGTGCAAATCATTCTAGACCGTTTGGCGATTGAGTCATCTAGGAACGGAATGTGCTTCGCCCCGTCAAACTGTAAAGTGCTGCTTCAAAGTTGACACTCGCCCGTTTCCGTGCTCATTATTGAAGGTACACAGATTGAACAAGTGGATAGTTGTCTATTTGCTAGTGGTACTTTTGGAACGGAAATTTCTCTTCGCATCGCAGTCGGCGTTTGTCAACTTGAAACACTTGTGGCGTCGTCAGAATGTCTCTTACTTGGTAAAGCGTCGTGTTTACAATGCCACTGTTCGTGCGGTGTTGCTATACGGAAGCGAGTTCGTGTAGACGATATGCGCCGGCTGTCGGCCTTCGATAATGGGTGCTTAAGGAGGATTGTTCGTGTGTGGTGGCAACAACGTATCTGCAACAGTGAAGTCATACGCCGTCTTAAGGAGTGCGAGTATTCTCTACAACAAGCTGATTTTGCTGCATCATTTAAGATGGCTCGGTCAGGTCCTGCGCATGTCGGCTGAACTTTTGCCCTATTGCGCCCTTTTCGCTCGTGCAGGATTTGGCTGGAAGAGACCACGTGACGGTCAGCCCTCCACCTGGTGACAGTATATGAAATCATTGACTTCACGTCTTGCCACCGTTGGATTCACACGTCTGCCTGGTTGGAGACCAAAGGACGAAGATTGCCGATGGCTGGAAACAATTCATGATATGGCACGCAATCGAAACTAGTGGAGAGTCTGTGTACATAATTGCTTAGATTTGGAAATTTAATACTTAACGATTGAAAAAGACAAAAAATGGCATGTGCAAAATAACAGAAAAATGCTCCGTGTTTTCTGTTATTTTGGCACAATAGCTGAAATGTGTTGCTCACCTACAGCTAATGTGCCATGGTGGTGCTTTCCATGGTTTTGTTTGGCTCCATGGTCATCCAATAGACCGCTGCTTACACTATATTACTATACTTCCTTTTGCCACGATTGTTGCCTAGTCAGTGTTCGTTTGCTTGCTGTGCGAGTTCACACGCCATCGGTCGGTACACCTGATCTCTATTATCCAAGTGGATATTATCCACGATCATGTACACCAGGCTAAAATAACCGGCAGATTTGACTATTAAGTCATACACGCCTAAGATATATCGAAAACGTTTCTCACTTAAGTTTTTTATGTTTGACTGAGCTGATAATGCGAGTTAATCGACATCTGCCTCTTGCGTGGAATACATTCTGTTTTTATTTATGCCTTGTCCTAAATGTTTTCGGTCCGTAGCCTAAAGGTAACGAGCTTGTCCTGTAATCTGACGGCGCGGCTTCAAGCCTGTGCGGGGCAGGGCGACCCTTGCAGTTCCCTTAGCCCACGTACTACTGTTGGTGGTTGCGAGGCGGCGGTACCGCGTACTGCTGATGGCCGAAGAGGCCTCTTCCTCGTGACCCAAAGGTTGCCGGTTCGAATCTGCGTAATAATAGGCTACATCGCAGTATCCATAGCCCTCGCACGACTGCTGATGGTCGCATACCAGCGAAGCGTTGGTACGACCTATAGGCGTACTATTCATGCCCCCCTCCTCCTTCCTACATGTGTCGAACTCAGCTACACACTCTATCCGTTATCTGGATTTGAACATAAAGTTTTACAGCTTAAAGCCAGACCATTCCTCAGTCTATTCCAAAGTTTCATCGAGTCAATTTGTAATTTCACCGTTCAGTATACGCCGCAACATTTCACTTTAACACCTAACTGTTTTCGCGTTTTGCATGTCTCTTGTTTATTGGCATTGATTTTGTCTCATTTATCCAATGTCGGAGTATTTTTTTGTCGACTTCTTCAGTGGTTACTATCTCAGAACGCCAAGCCATCCAGTGAATGTGTCCTTTTGGGGACAAATGCAGCAGTCTTGACGTGAACTATGGACGCAAAATTTCCAGGCTATCGGGTGACTACCGCAGAACACTAACTTTATGTTTATGGCTACTGGTTTGAGGACTTAGTCGTTAGGAGACCGATGTTCTGATATCCGCACTTACCAGCCTGAGTCACACATTCTGTCTTGTGTGACGGACTGCGTCTGGGTAAAACCTCGAGACCACCGGTTCTCAACGTGATCACAGTTTCATCGATTCATTTTGTATTTGAGTTCATGACGTTTTTTCAATTAAAGTACTCAAACACAACTTCAAGCTGGAGGGCAGTTAACAGCTGGTGTCCTCTCGTTTTCACTTTGATACTGCAACGGAAACTTCACTATCTTCAGGTCAATAAAGAAAAGCTAGAGTTGAAATGTGTGGTTTCGTCCATCAAATCTCCATAACCGAGCATCTGGAGCCCTCACCTGCATAGGATGCGATTCATGCCTTTGGGACTCTTCTATACTTGGTACACCATGCAGAGCGCCGACTGTTGTGTCGTGTGGGGTACCACATTCCGTTTGTGGATTTCCTGACTCCACTCTTGGTTTGTGAAATTGTAAACATGATCTGTTTGGAGTTGTGTCGCAGTAAACTAAATATCTCGTCGTCGAGGGATATGGTTGATGTGTGAAAAATGTCTTTGTTCCTGTATATCCATGCCAATACTTCGGCTCCACCAACGCGCTTTCCGACGATTTCTTCCCTAGATGTATAGGTGGTATGTTATAACGGAGACCAGTTCTTTTTGAATAATCTTCTGGAAATCTTGTAAACGGTTGAGTCCCATTAGGATTTCTGCACTCAGGTTCCTGTGCCATTCGACATTTACGTTAACGCACTCCGCCTTCGTTTGATTATTTGATCGATTGCTAAACGATCAATAATCACGTTTTGACACACCTCACTTCCTTCTGTCACGAGTTAGCTGACTCACTGGAAAAGACACTGCTTTATCTTTATTAATTTTGTACTTGGGTATGCGTTGCGACGTTCCTTACCACTGAGATATCAAGCATTGACTTTTAACCCGGCTATTAAGATCACTTGATGAAACAAGAGGATGTTTTTGATAACCACCTATTGTCACAATCTGCTGTCATTTCGACCCGACTAATGTCCATCTTATTATTAATACTTATTCTAGTAATCTTTTGTTTCTACTTTCAGTTGGAACCTACTCTGGAAGATCGTGTTCTTGTTAATCGGATGATGCTCGAGCTCGATCGCGACGTTTTCGAAGCAGAGAAGAAGGAATTCGAGGAAGCACTCAAGCTATCATCTCCCGTTGGAACTGTCCAGACCTGTGAAGACTTGTCTAATGACACTACCATTAGCGTTCCTACCACCACTTCAACAAATGTCATCGTTAATTCACCTTGCCAAACAGTTTTATCGACATCATGCGAGCAGAAGCCCACTGGCCCACAGAGACGTAGCGAAGTGCCTTACCTTAAACACGCCTGCTCTTCGCTTCCACCCCCTTGGTCCACCCTATTAGGCCCTGTTGCCTACTTACGTCCCCGCGTCTTTGACGCCAAGGGGAACGCTTCGTTCTCTTCTTTTAATTTTCCCGTTTTATCCGACGGAGGACTCAAGCCTGACGATTCCGACGTCTCCGTGTCTGCGGCTGTGAAGCCCGACGAGGATATGTCGCCAAGTACTGGCACATATTCTACTGTGATTAACGATAGTTCAAACAAGTTCAGTATACTCCGGCCTCCTTCGCCTAATGATTTAGATGTGAAAGAGGATTCATCAGAAGATGCCGAAGCTGATTTGTTCCTGGGTTTGGGTACCCGTGCTTCTAGAACCTGTGCCAATGAGTGCATTATGATGGATGTTACCGGGCTGTTGGAGGACGGGGTCGTTGGTGCAGCTGGCGCTCTTCGAGCTCGTACGAGGTCTGTTGCTTTTGACGAAACCTACGACTTGTGGCAGGAGCTCATGCGTGAAGAGGGAATTGAAATGGATGAAATTAAATCTATGTCTCTGGACATCAGCTTAGACGGCTCATCAGCGTTGAAGGTACGTTCCTTCTTTCGTTTGCTATTGGTGAGATGCACACATCATTGTTGGCCGATGGCAATTGTCATGCTTAAAATCTGAAACACGCTGTGGATTCCATTTGCGCGTCTAATGCGGATTCGCATCCCCCTGCGCTTGTTTTCTTGTTCATTTCGCACTAAGCAGTCTTATAAGATGTTTCGAATCTGTTTATTTCGAAGAAAATAGGTTGTAGCGAGTGCACCTTCCATTCTGACTCAAACACGAAAGTACGATGAATCTAGTAATCAGATAAATGTGGAACTAGCCATATTATATGCTTGCTGTTTATCGCCCATTCATTCTATCTTAAGCGGTGTTCGGCAGTTCCTTAAAATTTGCAAGCTGACCTGTAGTCAATGCTGAGAGGACCAAATCGCTGTGGCACCATACAAGATTATCGAACTATTACTGATTGCTGTGATCATGAGCCGGAGTTTGCTTGTGTGGATAATCGGAATTGTGTGATAATCGGCATCGTCTATTTGCAGCTTTCCTTCCACTGTAATTGCGAGCATTCCCAGGATGCTCACACAGCGACCACGAGTGACGTACGCTGCACCGCCCGCAACTGACTTTCGCATACTATAATGTAAACCCGACGGAGTACACCCGAGATGTATGTGCACAGGATTCACGAATAATTTGCGGCCGATAAACCCTACTTCAACATGCGCACTACTAATGTGCAGTTAAAGGGAGCATACATTCTAAAGGGTCATGTGGCGGTGCTTGGGATTTTCCCACTTTCACAGCTGTACCAATTTGGGCTCAACAGAATCACGACAACTGCGCATGTCGCCTTCATCGGCGGTGACTGGAAGTCTGCTGGAAATTTTGTTCCAAGTGGAGTAATCTGATGATTATTCGCCTACTCAGCGCTCGTATCAAGCGTTGAGTGATACAGTGAACCCTAATCGGACTCACTGCATTGGTCTCACTTTCGCATGTGTTTCACACTCCCAAGTGGCTGGGCCAGCAACTGCCTAATTGCCCTTGATTTTTGACAACTTCAGTGTGGGTAGCAGGAGGTCGACTAATGAAGTTAGTTCATTAATTTTAAATGCCGGGAATGATTTCACGAAGCTGTGGAAGGCCATTTACCCTGTCTGGAAGACCAGACATACAAAGCCACTATGAAGTCCGTTCTTCATGTAGTAAGTCTAATAGCCAACATGGACATTATCTCTTCGCAGTCTCTGGAACTTATCGATGCTCGCTGACACATTCTGGCTGGAAGCGAACACAATGATATAATTTTTTGCGGCACAATACCGGCTGATGGTTTTGCAGAACGATGTTCATCCGTACCTGGCGGCTCAACTGGCTTGTCTCTGTTGCAGGGTTTTTCTTATGTATTGCAGCACAATAGCTGAGGTATTTTCCACCTCTAGTTAACGTATATTTAATAAATAATAATGTTCACTTGTTTGTTATTGGATTCCACCCTCTGCATTTTCCTATTTAGTGATATCGTTATAGTTGCCGTTTTTTCGTCCCGTTGTCGTTCGCTACTTTATTAGTTAAATCCACCAGACGGCTATCACACCTCCGGAAAAGCATTGGACGGCCGATTTTCATCTTTTGGGAATCGCCAGCAGTGTGCATTCTATTTGTTGTGTATTGGACAACCCGTGGTCCCATTCCTTTGAGTCCGTGGTTGATACCACTGACCTGACTCGTTTGCCAAATGATTTGCATCGGGAATACCCTCGAATAACGACCGTCCAGAATTCAGCCGGCAATGTGCAAATAGCGGGTTGGACCACTCATTTTTTCCAGGGGGAGAAGTGGGAGGGTTTAGTCCGTATAGGTTGAATACATCGCAGTTCAATTTAGATCACTTCAGTTAACGACGACCTGGACATCAAAGTGCGATGAGTTCTGTTATCACAACTCGTATCACCTGGAAAGCAATACATCGCAATGGTGGGAAAATTTATTTAGAGCTAGGAAAGAATATAAAGGCAATTAAAAGTAGGTAAGTAACAGTATTTGAGATGGAATGCCAGCAGCTAGATGCAAGAAAACGAATTTGGGGTCATCGCTGACTGCTCAACTTCGCCATGTCCAGCCATTTATGTAGACGATCCCTAGGTCCCCAAGCCGCGCACGCACCCATTTGACTAAATCCCGGTCAATTCCTCCCTACCTTTTCTGTCGCATCATCGACTGGCCACCCCGCGGTTTCGCCCAATTTGATGCACCGACGGTGCTTATGCATCCCTTGGAAGGTGTTGAACGGACATGAGTAGGACATAACCTAGTCAACGTAGTTTACCTTTACCAGCATCCCCAATAGAGCAGCACAGTGCTTATTTTCGAACACCAACTGACTGGCTTCATCAGTACTCATCCATTGTTCCAACCAGATGTGAACATTGCTCCATAGGTACTGGTGATCAAAACGACCAATCTCTTAACGTCTTCAATGCACATTTTCCAGTTCTCCGGTTCATACAGTAACACCAGCCTTACTCAGTTTAACTTTGGCTCAAAGGCTGATATCCCGCCGTCTCCATAGATGGTTGAATCTCTGAAAAGTAACAGCAGAGTAACTTCCTAATTTAGGTGGCTAACAGAGGTGACACAGTTACTAAGTGGAACGATCAATGGTTATTTGCTGATAACTGAAATCGGTGTGCTATCGGTCCTGTCCTGCAACAGTACCTTGAACTTTGAAGATACAAAGCACATGCTAAAACTTACAGCTCTATGCGTCAGCCTGTTCAGTAGTGTTTGCATAGCCACTGCGTAAGGCCGAAGAAGTTGTGTTGTCCGCAAACTCAGTCCGCCACATAGCGGTATCTCTATTTTGAAAGAGACTGAGAGGACGGCTGCATTTATAATCATTCTGCTCACAGTTGAGAATGAGAATGAGTACAACCCTGGCGAACCCCACTTGTGAAGAACTCAGAGGACAGCTTCCCGTAAGCCGTTACCCCGTCTTGGGAGTCATCATCATCAATACACGTTAGTCGAGGGTGAGAAACACCGCAATACCAAAAAATAAGAGATCACAAACTAAAAAAGCTAAAAGAGTAACATAATGCTAAAATCACATTATGCATTGGGTTAAGATAGTTGGAGGTGAAAGCTAAGGGGGAACGGACATACAAAGAGACTCACAATACAAACGCCACTGAGGTCGGCTCCTCGCCATGTCAACTAGTGTATCAAACCAAACGTGTTCATCGTCCTCCGGACCCCAGCTCATCTCAGAAAACTCCGACGGACGCCAAGTTCAAAGTGAGGGACTTCATTCCTCTTGACCTAGTCTTCGCTTGGCCTCTTCTTCCATCTAGACCCCGGGCGCGCAAACAACGTGCGCTGCGGGAGCCGGTGTGCTAGCATACGCAACAAGTTGCCTAGCCACCGGAGCCTTGTACGTGAAATAGCGGTTCTGAGCGGTTCACTCGCTCTTCTTGCGCCATATACATGACGTCAAACGCGCTCATTGCTCACGCATTGTTCCCACTAGACATGAGCTAAGCTGCGAAGGCACCGATGATCGAACGTAACAAGCCCCTTTATGTCGGTCGACTGGATGGGCCGATTTCGCAACCGTACAGGTGGGAGGGTTTGCTGCATTGTCCTTCAGAGCGAGAATGATATCACGCCGGCGCCACAAGTGGCGGTTCTCTGCTGTAACACGCCGATTAGTAAATATGTGGTTAATGCAATCACGACCAGGGCGGAAGTCAGCATGGCTTTCACGAGGGCCAGTAAGTCACTAAAGAATGACACCTATGGGAAGTTTCGATGCAGTAAAAGTAGGACTAATACCTCGATGACACTCTCATCACACCACCCACCAACGTTCTCGGTCAATTCGAAAACTTGTCGGTCGTCTTTAAAAGCGTTACCGACAAGCTGAAACTCAGTATCCATTGGAACCTGTTTGCTTACTTCGATCAAACGGATGGATGCTTCAGAGATCCATTCAATGTTCCGACGTCTCCATTTGGGTGTACAACAGGCCTAAAATCATTCTTCATGACACACTTGAGACGATTCCAGTCAGGTTTGTGTTCACTGACTTCATCTATGAGTGACGGTTGGTGAACCAGTTCATCATGATATTGTTGAACCACAGACTTTTTAAATTACCAGTGAAAAGCTTAGAAATTAGGCGCTTCTTTGAAGCGGGAAGTGTGAGCACCAAGCGTGCGCTCACTAAAGCATGGTTGGATTCCAGGCACGTGTTCCAAATTGACCGATAGTTCTGGACTGATGTGCACCATCTGTTGCTGATGGAAATATGGTCAATTTGGGTCCAAATTGTTGTGAAATTCGCTAGGCGCCAGGTAACGCGATGTGAGCGTTTGTACCGAAAAGTATCGCTTCTGTTCCCAAGGTGGTTTTCAGTGCAAAGTTGAAGAAGTTAACCGCTATTGCCTGTTTGGTGTGCACCGAAACGACCTAAGTTTTGAGTCAGAAAGTAAATCCACTTGGACGTTCACATCATAAGCAACAATCACGATACCACTATTCCTCACCATGCGGATAAGAGAGCTAGAGCGAGAACTCGTCTATGGTACATTCCAAGTATCAGTTGGTTGGAGCATACACTGAAACGATAAAAAGGCACCTCGTCTTCAGATGGTGCTTATTGACGCCTATGAAGATCCTAAGCCAGCCACACGCATGCAGAACAATGGTGTATTACGGGCAAAAAAGCGGATGTTTTTTAATTCCCGTAGGATGGCCAAAATGAGAATAGAATGGTGTATAGAAAATAGTGATAAAGTGGAAATCGTTTCGGTGAACTCATCACAATGTTAGCACAGAGACATGCAGAAAAGGCCAACCTCAGTCGTGTAGGTTGTGCAACTTTCGTCGCATTATATCTTCTATCGATACACACAGGCTATATCTCGTAATGTATGTGGGTTACGGTAACGTCAAGGCGTTTTTATACACAGGTAAAGTGGGGGCGGAAACAACGCAATTTGTGAAGGCGTTCCATGGCTGGCACACACGAAGAAAATAAAAGTTCCGGCGACATTCTAGCCGACTGTATTGCGTGACTAACTTGAACTGGTGGCCCCTCAAATTTGTGTTGTGACTGAGTTGTAGTAGGTGACGACAGATGTAGTTGGGTTCCTTAGAATCTGGTAGGCCATATTAATGTCGCTACGTAGGCGCCGGCACCGGCCGCTGTATAATTTTAGGGTCCTCAGTCTAAGTTGATAAGGAAAATTGAACAACCCTTTGACGTACTTACTGGCTCGTCGCTGTGGAGTCTCGCACTGTGCCAGGGCTGCCTCGCCTGGACTGCGTATTCCACATACGAACAGACAGAAGGATCAACCGTCCGAATGCGGCTGTGAACTGGTGTCCATTTGAGAATATTTCTTTCATCATTTATGTTGAGGGCAATAATGACTCTATACATACCTTGTGTCCCTGACAAACACCATCAGAAACTCGAAGAGTGTAGTCATTTTACGCAGTTTCGGAACCAGGGAATCGTAGATTCGTTCCGTAAACACAGCGCACATTAATTGCAAGGGTGAAAATGGAGTGCGCACGGCTGACGATTCCTGAGAACAAAATCTCCATCTAGTGCTACTCCGAATGTATGGCTGTGTGATTGAATCCAGTTGTGATGAGACGGATTCCAGGCACATAATACCGCAGTTTACTAACAGTCTGCGACGATGGTTCTACGACGTTCGTATTTAGGTTCGCAGCGTATTGTGTAATGCCACATCGTCCGACTTTTAAATGTCAAGAGAGTGCTGATGTGCCGACTGGCAGCGTTCCACTTGTACACATACAGAGTGCACAAATGTGGATTATGAGAGAATGTATCAAATTTCTAAATGGGAATAATACGACTCCTGTGGATGTAACGCTCTTATAAATTTACACTGATGATGATTATTTGTTGCCGCAATTGGAACTAGTGCATTCTTCATTCAGTTTATGCTGTTGAACATTGTCGCACTGAACAGTGCATTATGAGTACCATGAAGATTTGTGCTGCGCGTCGCATTTCACGCTGACTTGTTTCCATCCAGGATTGTGCACATTTTCTAGGCATCCATATTTCGGCACTTTTGTCAAAGGCACGCTATATTGGCGGGTAAAATGTGAATTTGAGCAGCTTGTTTTTCTCCACTGTGTCTGCGCACTTTGTTCTACCTGTTTTTATGAGTGTAATGTTCATTGTCCCTTTATTCTCTTTATCAGGATAAGAACAAAGCGTCTCGTCAGGCAATGGAAAATGGTCCAAACGATCAGGTTGTTGAAATACAACATTCCGAAGACCCTGATCTGGATGCTGCCATCAGAAGCATTCTTTCTCCGTCAAATTGAAACTGTACTCAGGCCACTTACATCCATCCACCATCGCGATAAGGTGCGAACGTCACCCTACCAATGACCTTTCTATTGTGACCCCCACATGAATAGTTTCCTGTTGAGACGGTTATTTCGCATCTCACTTGCTGTCGGCTGCTCCCTGTTCTAGTCCGAGACCTAGGTGTTCTTAACATGTCTCACATCCTGGACAGCGCGACATATGTACATTTGGGCCGCACACAATGCCTTCTCGCCGCTCATCAGTTCTTTTTCATATCGCTCGTTACGGTTGTTTATGTTTTCGACGTTCTGTTTATCATTATTTCTCCTCACCTAGTTGTCTCCCTCTCCAGTGACCCTCGTGACCTCCTTGTATATTTGTCGGTTATTTCGGCTATTTTCCGATCATGTACAGCTTGGTTTCTATTTTGTATGCGCTCACTCTCTTTCATACGGCTGCGATCCTCGCCCCTTGGTTTTCCTTCATCTCCTTTCCCTGCCGTAATAAAATTTTGTAACAACTCTTGATATTCTTTTGCGGAGTGAGCTGTTGTTTTGCTTCCACATCTCCCGGACTCGTCTCCGCTCATAGGATATATTGGAAACAAACCCCCATACCGCTTACATTCTCTTGTAAATTGTGTGCTTGTGTGACGACTGTACCTGATTTCACATCCGCACTTGTCCATCCAGATGCTATGATCAATATTCCGTAGCACATTTTCTTAATATAACCTGTTACGATCTTTTCCATCTCTGCTTTGTCCTGTACTGGTGGATAGTTAGTGACTACCCGAACCACGTAGACTTCTCACCTTCCATGATGCGCTCTACTGTATGGCTTTTTCCCCCATGACTTCGCTACATCATGAGCGTACAGTACTCCAAACGATGTCGTCAGTCCTAGCAATTGGTGTACACCAGCCTAACCTATGCTCCTCAAGAAATGACGGCTAGCACTCCGATGTACCTATCACCTCTATAGGAAGCGGCCGGGACGACGACTCTTCAGGCGATATGGTTAAGGAATTCCATACATGCATGTAGTTGAACTATTGTAGAGATATAAGCGAGGACTAGTCTGGAGCCGTTACTTCAGTAAACGGGTCGGACACCGCAACTTGTGTCCTCAAGGTTTCTGTCTTGAGTGATTTCAACTTGTCTGAAGCTTGTTAGACCCAACTAATAAGCTAGATGAACGCCATCAGCGGTACTCACTCTCCTGATAGTTCATCATCATTATACACGTTAGCTAGAGGTGGGGAACTTCTCAGCTACTGTGCCACAATACATAGAAGAAAAAATGCAACAGATGCAAGCCAGCTGAGCTACCGGTAAACGGATGGACATCGTTCCGGTAAACTACCAGCCGGCTACTAAGCAGCAAAAATTTACTATGCAAAATTACATAAGGCTAAATAGTGAGATCGTGGTTGGAAGGGTAGTCTAAGAGGGATGGGGTGAGACAAAGGAACTCACAGCATGAACGCAACTGAGGTCGGCTCCTAGCCATACCAGCAAATGTATCCAGCCAAACGTGTTCGTCGTCTTTCGGACCCCAGCTGATAGTTGGACTGCGGCGAATGGAGACAACCTTTTGTCGTCAGGTGTGAAAACACAAAAATGGGTGGGGAATGTTCCCCTAGTGTCTATCTAATAGTCACAAACCAGTGGTTTAAACCGAATACCTCATCACAACACTCCGAAGTGACAGTAGTGATACTTTTTCATCTGGCTATGGAAATTTCCGTTTGGCAACTGTCCGTACTACTCCTCTGAGTCATTGCCCTCATTTCATACCTTGACATTTGTTCATTAGCTTAGTGGCGCCTGAATCTGTCGCAGTCAATGTTTGGATTATGGTCAATTGATTGAGCACAACTACATCAGGTGCTAGAAACGTGATACATTTAGACATTCCAGTGCCATCACCGCTACACACACCAAAGCGGCATTTAATGCACTTTATCACGACTGCACTATCACTGAAGGACGTACCAGAGAATCACTTTTATACTCAAATACTGCACCCGAGACGCTGTTACAGCGCCTTCGGGATAGAACTAATCCAACTGGTACCTTTAATTTTAAGCGGACTCAACAGTATACACACTGAAATTGATCAACCAGCCTCCTTTTGGTCATTAACTGAAGTGGGGTGCACTGTGGACCCGGGCTGTCTGGAGCAATCGGTACCAAATTCATATTCAGGTCAGTCCCCCAGGATAAGACATGTTTGCCCTAGAAATGGATTCTATCTAGTGTGTCATTAAGCAAACCAATTCCATTAGCGTCTCGACATCATTCTCACTTCCTTAAACAGAAGCACTGGAGCGATAGTCATTACTACACTCATGATTTTGCCCACGACAGGGCCTCTCGATTGAGAGCTGTTGGCACCGATCCGTACTCTGCTTGACGCAATCCCGGAGCAGACTAGCTAGGTTGTGCTTTTTACTTCTACGTCACCAAATTCCAGTAGGTTGGAGGAAGATTTATGCCACCACGCGATATGTCTTGAAAACTTACTCTGATATCCGTTTTGGGTCCCTGTTTTAGTTTCAGGTGATGTCCCCGTTCAAACATTTTGAACGTTAATAGAATTTTTGCTATTAATTCCTGCCGTCTTAGTAATACATAAGTAGCCAGATAAACGTGAGGTTTTGCAATCCTCTTACACAAAATGTGCTCCAAACTAACCAACGAGAACAGTAACTAGTTAGCCGGTTCCTGTACGGCATACCGCACTTCTCCGTAGCGAATTTGGCAATACTCGCAATTCCCTCCACGTGAAAAATTTTAGAAACGACAAAATTGCGAGAAAAACAATAATACTGGGTTCCCTTTGTTTTAAAGTGGTTTTTGATTGCGGTGTTTATAGTTTAGATGTCTATGTGTAGCCCCTTCTTGTAGGAGAATTTGGTTGTCGAACTCTGCTTCCTACCATCCCAATGAGGAAACAAATCATCTTCAGATCCTTTATAGCGGTATAATGGAACTACGCGGTGGGCGGGGAGGAGATGAGGTTGTCTATAGTATTGACTAACGGAATCTGTTTCGTAAAAGTGAGTTGCAGTGCTAACGGCTACCAAGCTTTCATTTTTGTCCCATCATTGCTGGAAGTCAGCGCATGGCATTAGCGACATTCATAGACAAACCCCAATGGGCCACATTCCTTTGGCTCTGTTGTCCTTATCGACGAGTTCCCACTTCTCTGCAGAATACAGCAAGGGCTCTGGAGAAAAGGACGCGGTTCACTTGTAGATATAATAAATAGGAGAATGCTCAACATCGAAATTCGGAGACTTTTTGTAGATGAACTTAGACTCCATTGAACCAACTCTGGGCTGAAAGGTTCTAACTACTAGGCCAGTAGTTTTGAATATAACTCGGGACATGAACCTTTCTGGTCTCAGACGATTGTTCACTGAATTAAAACTACAAAAGTAAAATCACCGTACTTCTGTTGGTATCTCACTATCCAGATAACTAATCGTCTCACCTAACGCGCAGCTTCTTCCTGGAGAAGCATCCACTACTTTTGCGTTCAGCTAGGGCCTCCATATTAGTATGCGACATTCCGTTATTCCTACGCCTAAATTCTCCTACATATCGTCGTCTCGCTCACTTTTCAGTGGTTCTTATGGAAAATATCCCAAAAATTGACCACATTTCCATATCACCATGTAGTGTGGTACAGGCTGTTTGGCAGTCGACCATGAATGTTCGCCATTCTGGTGGAGTGCAAGCGTGGCTACGGAGTTGACACCTCACATCACAATGTCGGTGGTAAATACACATTGCCGCTTCATGTCACAGAAATTAATTAAGCAGGTGGTTGCGGATGTTGAGCCACGCGATTAAGTGAGCTCACTTGTCGAAACCCCCTCGCTAGTGGTTGTATGACATGCGAGAGGCGGCGGTTCTCGTTTCATGTATTCAAGTAGTGCTGGGGCTGGCTCTTAGAGCTACGACTGCCTTTTCCCGGATGGGTGGCGGCTGTCTGGCTGAGTCCAACTGTGACGAATCTCCTCAAAAACACGATAACCCCCCTGCCACCCACCAATAATCAGTAACCGCCTTTACAGCTTACATGATAACTCGATTGGTGGCGGTTTGCAAAGGTAGTCGTATCACTGTGGGTCAGCCACGTCCTCTACACGTTCATGGCATGCATAACAGTGGAGGATGAACCGTGCTATACCGCAGTTAGATATCAGTCATGGCGGCCCGCCGCCGTCACTCATGGCTCAGTGGCATAAACCACTGACTCGTAGGACTAATGGCATGGGCTCCAATCCGACAGGTGCTCGCTGCTGGTGAGTCTGAATTGGGCTAAACGGTCGTCTGGCGTATTACTGAATGTGTGGTGACTGTTTGACAGAGTCTAGTTACGTAGAAACTGCCCGACAGTATGTGTCTGGCGTCAGTGATACCGTTTACTGGACCCATAACTGATCGCTCCAATTTCATTTGTGCTGTTGTGCTAATCAGTTTGTTTTTTTTTTCTTCTCCATATATGACAGTCTGCTTCATTTTTGTCAGCTCTCTAGCATGGTAGAAACTCCTTGTAAGAGAGACGATACCGAACTTGCCGCCTCGGATCTCGAGAGGTGGTTGGACACGCTCACTACTGATTCAGTTGTCGGACTTCCTTGGTGGAAACAGCGAATTGACCGATGGTTAACTGAGATTGACAGAGTGGAAAACATAAAAGACTTGGTTATTGTCACCTCGGGTGGGACCATTGCTCCTTTGGAATGTCAGGTGGTACGATTCATCGACAACTTCAGGTGAGCTGGATCAACACAACTTTGTGGAAATTTATCTCTAAGCACATTCGCTTACTCATGCCATTGCAAGACATGCTGTAACACTGTCTCACGTTTGATTCAAGTGTAACTAAGCCTTATGAAACCAAGTGGGTTCATTTTCAACATTTAGACCACCACTATGGGTATACTGGAAGATAATATCTATAAGAGGTGCATGGATGATTAAAAAAATGAGACTTGTACACAACTTTCACTAGCAAGTGTTCGCGCGCGCAGTATGTTGCTGACTTTCAGTGGATCAGCAAGCAAATGTGACACAATGTGCGAGAAAATAAAATTCTGAATGCGTAGATGAAAACGGTGTTTTTTAAAAAAATCACCGTGCAGTGGATGACACCAGTCTTTTAAAACCTATTTCATGCATCAAGATGTCCCGAAATGATCAGGTAAAATGGAGAATATCTAGCCAAGGCACCGCATCTAAAAAATGTGCTTCATCTATCTTACCAGTAAGATGTAGTCTTTCTGAAGCAGTTCTGTAGACATGACTGGGAGCAATATACTCAAAGGGGGTAATTGCGTGGAATCACAAACTCAAATATTAAACTGCTGAATACCGAAAGTATCTTACTTCTGAGAGCACAATCAGAACGTTTTCTGATTTGGTTATAAGTGACACTAGAGGTTTTGGAACAAAACGATGCTGATGAACTTGATGGATAATTTGAACATGGGACTGTTAGGATATATGTATTATTAGAGATTGCAACCTATCGCCCCACAAACATAATAATACCCCATCGTATTTGGAAGCCTTGAGAGTAGGAGATTTTGATTTAACCGCCTTAAAGCAATGAGGAAGCCGAAGTGATGGAGACTATACGTCTCAGCACATCACCGGCATATTCGGATCCAATAAACGTGGGTTATATAAGTTCTTCTATATATAATAGAGAATATATGTATTCAACACGACCAATAGTACAATTGGCGTAGTGCCACAATGTATGGGAAATACAATAAACAAACGGAGGGAGAGCGAGAAATTAAACCAATGTTAATGGTAATGGAGAGTCACAACAGCACGGCTTCTTCCTATATGCACGCGTGTTCCTGATCCTTCACACTCCCAGTCAGGGAGCCGAGAGCACCCGAGCACGGCTAACTTTGACGTTAGTTCCTTCATGCACTTAGCCCAAGTCATACGTTGGCCACCTTGCTTTCGCTACTAGCCAACTGCTGCGCGCGCAAGAGGGCTCAGCAAGGTAAAGGATGGGTAGGCATGCGAAGAACATGCCCAAGCCACTGAGGCCTGTGCTGAGAGAAATAATGCTGCTCAATTGCCGACAAAGTCTCTCTGATCTGAAAATCCTCCGGGATCGCTCTCGACAGAACACCACAGTTGGTTGTATAAGATGAGTGCGACCCATAAAACAGATTACGCACATCCGGGTGAACTCCGTTCTCAGAGAATAGACTGAAAATCAGTGATCTACGCAAGTCCCTAAAGGTATTTGAATAGTCAAGGAAAAGTATTACGGATTTACATCGTTGATTTAGTGCAGACGTCATAAAATAAACAAGATATGTTACTGTATCCAATGCTAAGGTCTATAGACAAACTGATAGCTATCGCCAGCAGAAGCGGCTGTGAGAATTCATGGAATAAGAAGTTTTCCGAAAACTTTCAGCAGCACAAATATACAGACAGTCGGGCGATATATGTAAAAGACCCAGTTTTGGGCACCGCAGTTACGTTGGCTGACTTCCGAATATCTATGATAACACCAATGGTGAGACATTTGTTCATCTTTTAAAGACTAATGATGATAGAGCATCAAGACCGAAAGCTTCTGAGTTCCTTGTGAGCATCACCTTGGTAGAAATGTGCAGCTAGACTTGAGCTGACAAAACAGGGCAAAGTAGATGCATGATTCGAGCACCGAAATGCGGTGGATCGAGTTGCCACGACTCACACCGTAAGAATAACAATAGACACTAACGGCAAGATAGTGGAGTTGAATGCAAACAGAACGTTAAAAATATGGAAACAAGAAGTGTGTTAAACTAATCAGAATGGAGCGACAATTAACAACCAGATGCAAGAGACCGAATGCAGGAACGCCGCTGACTGCGTGACTGCCGCATGTCTGATAAGGTCTCCATCCATTGGTGTGGACCCTCCCGAGGCCCCCTTCCACGAATATGGCTTGACCAAGTCTCTCAATTTCTTCATGCCACTATATCACGTCTTGGACTGGTCACCTCGTACTTTCGCCCAATTTGCTGCAGCCACGGCGTATAATGCACACCAAGGAAACCAAGCCAAACCCAGCATTTGAATTGTCCACATCTAACATACCGCTCTGACTGTAGGCGTTTTTACCACAGATACGTCAAAAGCCACTATAGACAACAACAGTTATGGTCGCCTAAAACCGGTTCGATGTATAAGAAGTTTCGCTTTTTCACCTCATTTTCAATAGCTGAGATTAGGTTGCTAACGCGAATAACCAATTTGCATACAAAATCGATTCTTCGATCTTTCAAAGTTGCCTCAATATTGATATGAACCTGTCTTCAGTTGACGTCAGCTTTCTGATTCAATATCACCACGTTTTCTCTTAATGTTTCGATTCACCCACCTAATGTTTTGATACTCGTTAACCGCACAGGAGACCAGAAAAGTTAGCGCTAGCACTGGGTCAACTTGGCGATGTATCCAACAAAATAAGTGAAGCGACCAAGAGCTGAAAATTACAAAAGCACATCAGCACAACGTACATAGCAACACAGCAAGTAGACTTTCACTGTGTATTTCAGGTGGAGAGTAGACGACTTTTGAAATCTAAACGGTAGGATAAGTGCATTTTATCGGAACGAACCAGGTCAACAAAAACACGGGTGCGCTGTTTGGAGTCCGAACTTCATACGATGCAAGAGAAATGGTTTAGCTTGTTTTCATGCCTCAGTTACGTATTTCATCATCTGGAATTCGGGCCACTCGATTTTCTATGTACTGCGCAACTACCGATAAGATGGCGATCTATCGTTCTCATCACAATTCCTCCATGTTCCGTTTATTTTTCCAGCACCGGCTCACGCGGCGCGAGATCAGCCGAGGCGTTTTTGCGCCAGAAGTACGGGGTGATCTTTTTTCATCGACGAGGTTCATTGATGCCTTTTTCTCGTTGCCTAAATGACTCACATCTGGATGATGAGGGATATTCGGACCTTTGCTTTCTGCAATGGTTACGACCAAGTGAAAACTCGACGCACATATGTGTATGTGATACGGCATCTAAATGGCTGTACCCAATTCTCACCGATTATCACATATATAGTGAGTGCCAATTTGCTGCTCCTCATTGTTGATATTATCAGCTTAGGGACACCGCGTGTCACCCGAGACTTAGTATGAAATCCTCCAGCTTGTCTGACTGTCGCCAGCTTTTCGCCATTGACAAGGTGACTGCGCCTCTTCAGTGCCTGTGTACAGACGATCACCGTCGATTGGAAGTACATGTAATTGAATCTACTGCCATTTCAGCGATCTATGGCTTCTCCACTATAAGTGATGTTAAAAAGACATGATGCGATTTCTATCCCGCCTAGATCGACCACTAATTGCAATACGACGTGCGAAATAATGAATGAGGTCTGTTAGCTGTGCCCCATAAACTTACCGTAAGCCTACTTAACCTAGCCAAATTTATGACGACGACCTGAAAACGATAGATTCAGGTCAAGACAAATATTAACACTACTGAGACAAAAAGGTGTAGAGAAAAGAGGAGAAGACTGTCCGAGATAAGTTGAAATACTAGTGACCCAGGATGATTGCTCGATAAGCTTGGTTATTTGGTCGTCTGCGTTTCGTCACAAAGTGAGGTGACATCATCAGTGTCGTAATGTGTATCGGACAATCCTGTTGATTGCGTCGTCCGTCTATGATCGACGGGTAGGTTACCTTTTAAATTAGCATCTGCAATTGTCGCCCTATGACCTTTGACCATATACCTCCGCAGCTGAAACGGTCGTCTGAGTTATCCGTCTTGTATCTTTTGCCGAAATTTGCCTAATATCCTCCTATCACTGGAAAACGGCTAAAGAAAGCATTGCCTAACCAAACAACCACCATACAGATATGAACAAATTTAAGGGCACCGCTTACTTCTTAACATTGAGACTTCCAGCCACTGGCTAATTCATTGGCCGAACGATGTTCGCTCAAACATCGTTGCCATTTCTCATTAGCTCGCTACGCTTGCTTTACTTTATCCCGAGTACGGGTCACTTGAAGTAGACTGTACTCCGGTTTACTTCCCCATCTACATCCATCTCTCAGATAAGGCGCTTTTATCCGTTCCATTCGAGACTGTTGAAGACTATCTGGCAGGTCTGCGCTGGATCTCAAAGAGACTGGCCCATTTTGTCAGCAAGGAGTCGACGATTCAACGTTCGCTCTGCTGCTATCTGGCCGCTGCCGTATCCGACTTCTATGTGCCAAGATCACAGAGGCCTTACCACAAAATTCCATCGAATATGCAAGAAGGATTCCATCATGCCTCCCTTTCTGAAACTTCAGGAAATATCATCTTACGACTTGAGAAAGTACCCAAAGTTCTGCGCTTGCTGGCCCTAGAGTGGGCGCCAAAGGCATTCATCGTAACTTTTAAGGTGAATGCAAGTCAGCCATAGCGATATCTCATGTCGATCAGAAGCAGTATCCAAGATAAAATTCTGAACTTTAATTGCTCTCTCTTTATGTATCAGCTTGAAACCGACCGGGATCGCTTGCTGTCTGTCGCAGAGGATAAGATCATGGCTCCACGGATGCATATCGTGGTCGCCAACCAGCTGGAGTCACGTTCCAAAGAAGTCTGGCTAGCGTATCGTCCCGGGGAGCAAGATCAAGTTACCTTCGAGCACCTCGAACTCTCCGAAACCGTGAACGGGATCAGTGACTTGGAAGAGAAGATAGTATTTCGTATTATACAGCTGCATGATATGTTTCAGATACAAGCTTAAATGTCTTCAAGACCGATGACACATTCCAGCTCACCGCACCACTGTCTTTAAATATACGGGACAAAATACCATGCAGTTGGTCAACTATGGATGAAATATCAAAAGTACGATGCATCAAGGCCGCTGTGGAGTAGATAAGTAATCAGAGTACAGGTGAAATTCAGGGGAGGGTAATAGAGAGTAAATTGATGATTTGAAGAGATAGTAGATGTGACATTTACCAATGGGCAGAACCATCGACCTAGACGCCGAATCCATCGGCCCTGTTGGCTACACTCAGTCCTGCAGGCTCTCGATCAGTTTCTCCATATTCTTCCCCATCTTGTCGGGCCAACCACTGAGGCTTCGTCCAAACAGATTTAGTAAGGACAGATAAAGCATGCCAAAGGTGGTCTCGCCAAGTTGAGCGGCATAAGTTCAACAAGCGACGCGGTGTAGCCCAACACCAATTATCAGGCTTACACATATCTCATTCAGTGATCTCGCTAGATATGAGCAGTTCCCATGAGTACCGATACTCCTAATGGCGGAGTCACTGTATCGTTTCGCTGATAGGCTCATGTCTCACATTCTATATCAATGCTTGGAGACTGGAAGGTCGCGGAACATGTACGCATCAAATTATTAAGTGATTTGACTACCAGAAATGATACAAATGCCTGCCTCAATGAATCGGTTCACCACTTTCGCTAGTCGCGTGCTAACAAAGTCAGGAGTGCGTCAGTCACCACTCGGTTAGACTCATACAGGGAGAAATGCAACCGAAATGTACCGCATTTTTCTAAGCATAGGTGCACACATTCAAGGGAAATCGGCACAAGTTAGAACTAGATCCAAACAAGAAACCTGCAAAATAGCTTTGGACAGGAAAGTGTGTCTAGAAGGCCGTATCGTACTTTTCCGGATATCTAGTGGTGGCTGTCTGTCTGACGTTATTCACAACGATCCCTCCCGTAGTGATAGAGGTTGTTACTTAGCCTTTCAGACACGTTACGCATGATGGAGATCAGGAAAAAATTTTGGATTTTCGAAGTTATAGCTGATCTATGAGGAAAAAGAGAGCGATCGGGGAGCGCACGCGATCTATATTTCGAAAAGTTAGTCAACAAATGGTATATAATGGTGCTTGACAAGTTGAGATACATGAGATGATTGGTGGGCATGACATCGTCTCTATGCGGGCAGTTTCTTTAGCAAAGCCTGTGCTCGAGCAACGGCGGCTTTAAACTCATCGGTGTCCGATTGAAACTGAAACAAACGTAAATAACGGAATTTAGCATGCACAACGGTCCGTGTGAGACCTACATCAGTTACACTACCTATGACCCTTATGAGGCTTTACGTCATGGTCGGACGTGCAGCGAAGCAATTTAGAAAATATAGTTGCATTACAAAGCACGTGTCATGGGTGATGTACTGCACAAAGACATATCATAAACCACTGCTTGTAACCGTGGCCAAAAGGATGGACGCTCCTAGCCAGTCTTACACATCCACAGATAGCTACAGCTTCACCACAGCCGCTTTTTAAGCAGTGTCATAACAAGTAACCGAGTGCGCGAAGATGTAATGAGTAGGTAATTAGGTTCTAGAACGTACATGAAATGAAGAGCATGGCAAGCAACCCATGTGGGTCGGTCGGGTTCTATATGCTATGTATGTGGTGATATAAAACAGATTTGATTAACATGATTAGTATTTGACATTATTTCCCTTCACGTATTTAAAAATGCTGTGAGACGGTTTGCCTAAGATTTTGCTATAGCTGATCAAATGGGAGGATATGGGAAAACAGAACAGAACATACACTAGGTGTAATTAACCAGAAATAATGTTCGAAGCGCAACACCTACCTTGAATCGAACCGCTAAGGTTTCATGAACCGCTGTGCCTTCGCTGTAATCCTCTCCGAACCAGCAGACACCAAGGCCGCCACTTCCAAGCGGTTTAAAAGCAGGAAAATCCGGACCGATCGGTTGATTAACGCATAATTTGAGAACTTGATGCCGGCGCATCAAAAGACGCGCCCGTTCAACTGGACCAATGTTGACATCGTGCGGCACGACGTCGCGTGATCCAGGTCTGTAGCCGGCAGGAAACTGTTGAGGCGAAACTAGCACCTTCATGTCCCCGATACCTCGGTCCTTCCAAGCGCCCTCGACATATCGATAGACACGACAACTTTTGAGAAAGATACACAACTCTGACTCTTCTCCAGTTTTGACCTTAGAGAATGAATAGATAATCGAAGATCAACAAGTGCTCAATTAGTAAGAAAGCCACCACGGCCTTCATTCCAAACAAAAAAGACAGAATAGAATCGTTTATGAGCATTTTGATAGTGCGAGTAACAAGTGGGTGGAGATGTGGTCAACTTGTCACATTGATCTCACGTGACAGCTTTCCGCACAATCCAGCAAGGTTCGGGGAGCCAAATCACAGATCTTCCATAGGAGACAGCCACTTCAACAGTAAAGCCACGAGTACCACCACAAACAAGTGCAGTGATTAACGTAATGGAAGTATTCATTTCAGGGGCAATGGGAGCGGTAGGCAGTTTGCATCCATAAAGTTGTCTATGCAAGACGGGGAGCGTATAAGCCATTTAACTACGACCTGAGCACCCAAACGCGATGGACACAGCTACCACGGCTGTGAGTAAAAATAGCAAAATAAGGCGAGCACAATGCAAACAAATAAACAAAAGACGAAAGGAATTCACGAATGAGTAATTTTAGATCTCGAATATACTTGTTCTCGATGATGCCGCGAGTATGGTCGATCTCGTGGACCCGGTTCAGGGTGGTCGCACATGATAGTGCTGGGCTTCAGCTAGCTAAGTACGGCATCAGGAAGGAGTGTTGAAGTTACCCGTCGGCAAACACGTGAAGAATGTGATCGAACGGAAGTAAGCGGCCTAAGCCATCGCAATGAGATTGGATGATACATTGGTGTGATCGTTTGCGTACCTCAGCGATCTACTGGGCTATGCTGGCTGGTGCTTTCTGTACCTTTAGGACCACTCATACCAGAATGGTCAATGGTTAGAGGCCAGACAAATTCAGTATCCCAGTCCTCCAGGCTGGAGTGAGGATGGCTCTTTATTCCTTGAAATAGACTCCTTGTGGCCCACTGCTAAACCCGCTACCTTGCGGTCAGGATTTTGAGCCGAAGGCTCTGGCTGAGAACCATACTCTTTCTCTTGTCTATAGCTGGGATAGCTGACAGTATCATATCCACGCAATACAATGTCATCAAAATCATCATACACCTGAGCTAGAGGTGGAAAACACCTCAGCCACTGCGCCGCAATACATAATAAAAAAGAAAAATATACAACAGCTGCACGTCAGCTGAGCTACTAGTAACGGATAGGAATCGTTCCGTAAAGTTAGAAAGCGGCAACTATGCAGCAAAATAGATTTATTAAACAAAATTTACATAAAATGAGATCGCTGTTGGAGGGGGAGGATAAGAAGGATGTGAGGGACAAGGAAATGCACAACACGAACACCACTGAGGTCGGCTCCTAGCCATGACAACAAGTATATTCATAGGAACGTGTTCGTCTTTCGGACCCCAACCAGGGAGCCAAGACGCTCCATCCGAAGACAGCCTAGAAGTGAGGGCCTTCATTGATCTCGATCAAGTAATTACTCGGTCACCCCACTTCTTCCATCCACAGTCCCGGCGCGCAAACAACGCACGTAACGGGAGTCGGTGGACTAGCATGCGCAATGTGAAGCCGAGCCATCAGAGCCTGTTGTGTGATATAACGCTGCTGTGTGGTTCACTCGCTCTTCCTGTGCCGTAAACAAGGCGTCGAACATGCTCGTTGCTCACGCGATGTTCCCACCAAATGTAAGCCTATCTGCGAAGGCAACGGTGGTCGAACGTAACTAGCCTCTTTATGTCTGCCAATCTAATAGGCCAGGTTTCACAGCCGTACAGTAGAGTCAAACGTACGGCCGCACTGTAAACTCTACCCTTCAGGAAAAGAGTGATGTCCCGCCGACGCCATATGTAGCGAAGGTTAGCAAAAAAGCCTCGAGCTATTTTTATGCGGTTTGTAACCTCCTCTTCGATTCCGCAGATAGTTGGATTTTCGAACGACCACCACCAAGGGTCAGTGCAAGAGGCAGCCCTTGCCAATCTTAGAGGAAAGCTTTCCAGGTCGATGGTTCAAAGCATAGCCCGAAACGTCTGACAGCCAGTGATAATCTGTCCAGTTCCACTTAGCACGTTTGGGAGCTGTCACAGATAAGGGCAATATCGTCAGCATACTCCAAGTCAAGAAGTCGTTCGTCTGGAAACGACTTCAGCGGTTTCGTTTGTGATTTAGCCGTCGGAAAACACAAGGTTGGTGAGCAACTGTGACAAAGACTATCGCGTGTACCGCCTCGGCATCGAAGATGCGGCCTCCGATCACTCTTTGCTTATTATGGTCGTTTCGTGCAGCAAAACGACAATAAAGCTATGCTGTGTTTGCTGGAATCATGATGCTCTGCACTGACCCAATATTCGAGCAGCTGAATAGGTTGGCCCACACACCCACATAAGATACGCGAAAGCACATAGAGCGGCAGGGGAAACTGGGTCATCGGTTCTGATCGAGGCAACTGACGCTCATGATCAAGAGGGGGGAATGCACAATCGCCCACTGCTTATGCAGTTACTTTGCATTCGCGTAGGCGCAATGTAGCCGGAATATCGTACAGTTAGCTTGCCCCTGACTTTGATAAGCAGTTACAGCTGTACACAAATGAAGTTAGACTGATTTAGGTGGATTCATAATAGCCAACATTGTTCCAGTGAGTGTACTGCATATGTTCTCTCAAACCCATAGGAAATACGCGAAAGCTAATAGAGCTAATAGAGTCGCCGGCTTCGCTCGAGTTGAACAACCCCAATGATCAAGAGGAAGACTTGCACAATCGCCCACTGTTTGCATTCGCGCAAGCACAATGTGCTGAACATCGTCCATTCGTTGTAATCCGCTTTCTGATAACGACTTGCAGCAGTAGTCCAGTAAAGCCGTGCTGTGTTTGGTGGTTATGATAGCCTGTACTGATCTAATAACCGAGCACCTGAATAGGTTGGCGCACACAAAATACTTTGTGACTATGCTTTGTGACTATTCGTCGAATAAATTCTTCGAACTACGTGTGCTCATGTGCCCCAGCAAGATCGAGTGAGTGCAATGGTTACGTTCCAACTCAACGAAGTCTAGTGGTAACTTTGCCATGTTTGCTTGGTCCGAAGCTTTGTTGTCCCCGTAATTGTACAACCCAGGTATACCTTTTCTCAACCAATAGCGCTTTCAAATTCCTCCTTGTGGAACTCATGTTCCTCCATCAATCTTTCAAGATGATCCATAATGCCTTAAAGTTGAATTCAGCGGGCACGAACGCCCCTAAATGCTAACGTCCATTGAGGGATCAAATCCAAATCAGGCAATATTACCCCACTCTATGTGCTCATCTGCTTATCTGAGATTGGTCACTAAAGGAACACTACGTAATTTTTGGAGTGTATGGGCCCGTTGGATTCGACTTGGAAGCGTTATGGACCTTTTTGAAAGATCTATGGAGGAACAAGATTTCCTTAAGGAGGAATCTGAAAGCGCTATGGATTCAGTTGGCTGAGAAAAGGTATAGAATTAAAGTTCAATTTTAAACTGCACATTACCATGTGACTATGCTCACATCTTCGGTCAGCATTAGCAGCTGAGCATTTTAAGTCGACCATAGTGAACACATGCCATCAGTACCCGAAACACAAACCTAAACACAGGTATTTGTTAAAGAAGGCGCATATGGACGCTCTCAGTGCTTAAACAGAAAGAGAATGTGTTGTTCACTAGGCCGGATATAGGAGCAGGGATCGTTGTAATGGAGAAATTCGGTTATATCGGTAAGATGAGTGTCATCCTCAGCGATTATCCGAAATTCCGAAAGATGGAGACAAGCTGTTACGTCGGAAGGACTACCGGAAGACTATTCGAGAGAGCCCGGGAGCACTGTCCAGCTTGGTTGTATGGCGGCGTGACTATATCAGCGGCAGGCGTATGAGGCATTCCATCCTATCTACCGCGTACCCTAATGTCACCTACGAGCGTTTAGATATCGCCTGTTGGCAGCGGCCGAAGCGATCGCCATTCGGTTTTGTGACCCTGACCTATGTGCGCACAAGAACTTTGTCCGGGCACTCGTTCTACCTTGATTCTCTGTAACGCTGACAAATGGTGTGAACAACACCGCACACACACACACACCGTTGATCGCTGTGGGACCAACCACCTAGCTTGGTCACTCAGGTCATCTTGGAGTCTGAACTTGTGCCCTTATTTGCGGTTTATGTGTGGTGTATTATGCTGATGATGAAGCAATGAAAACGAGCTCGTTCGCTAACATTCGTTCCGTTGTCCACGCGTGGAATATTTTATTTCGTACACGAGTTGCACAATTGGCTAGCGAAACGATGGGAACAGCAAACTGTTCCAATCGAATGGAGTTGCTGTTATTGTCCCAAAGGCGCTCATTTTCAGAGTGCAACAATCATATAGGAACTAGTATGATCACAAACGCCTCCAAGTTAGTTGAATGTCGTTCTCCATAAACCCCCCCCCCGGGACTCATGAAAATCAGATTCAAAGAAAAAGCCAAGTTTCATCGAAGTCAGGGTTACATTGATCACGTCTTCACTTTACGTCAATTGGTGAAGTTCTGCCACATTTGTTAGTGACTTATCGTAGCAATGTTTCTCTACATCAAAGCCGCCTTTAATTCGATGGATCGATGTGCTTTGAGACTGTTTATGAAGCATGTGCCCCATAAATACGTGGACATTATCAAAGCGCTTAACGTGCATAATTCGGGTAGAGTGAGAGTTTATGGAGAGCTGTTACCGGCATCTAAGAACCCTGCTGGTTTGAGACAGAGATGCCTCTTGTCACCTTTCTTTTTATCTTAGTTATTGACGAAATTATGGAAACTGCATTCCGTGGACAAAAGTTAGTAGGTGATCGACTGCATAACTTGGAGTACATCCATGATATTGCCCTTATATGTATCAGCTCACAGACTTGCCAAATAGCCCTGGTCAGATTAGAATTGGCTGACAGCTGTTCCGAGTTGATTTTCACGTTCAATATTCTGAACTTTCCTCCGGTATTTGAAGAGGCTGCGCCTGCACTGACCCTTGATGAGGATAAGCTAGAGGTTGTTCAGGAATCAAACAGCCTTGGCAACTATATCCGCAGATGTGATCACGAAACGTATGGCAAAAGCTCGAGGCGATTTTGCCAATCTTCGTCACCCGTGACATCACTCTCGCCCTGAAAGGCAGAATTTACAACGCAGCCGTGCGTGCAGCTCTTCTGTATGGCTGAGAAACCTGGTCCATTAGGTCGACAGATATAAGGAGGCTATTTACGTCCGACTATGGCTACCTTAAACAGCTTAGCTCACATCTGGTAGGAACACCGCGTGAGTGATGAGCCTGTTCAGCGTCGTGTATTTGGCGCAGTATATCACGCACTAGAATCCGATGACTGGGCCACTTGTTGCACATGCCAACACATCGACGCCCGCGATATGTGCTGTTTGTGCAATTGCGATTCTCGGGTTAGAGCCCGAAAGACGATGAATGAGTTCGATTGGATAGAGTTGTTAATGTGGCTGAGAGCAAACCTCAGTGGTGTTTGCGTTGTGAACTTCTTTGTTCCTCCTCCTTCCGTTTAGCTTTGTTACCAAACACGACCTCAGTATTGATGCAGATTAAGGGTAGGGTACAATAGTAGTTTTTAGGCGCTAAAATATGTTTCCTTCTTTTTTACAACCATGCCTCATGGTGTGGTGCCTCGATGAATTCGAGAATAAAATATTTATCATCAAATTGTCTTGTATCCTGGCACAATAAGGTTTCTCACCTCTGGCTATCGTGTAGAGTGATGATGGTACACGGTCTAAATGAACGTTTGCTGCATAAACTATCAACGCAAAGTTATCAAAAACTGCGAACTAACCTGTACCAATTCCGGCAAAGTAACAACTGGATCATAATGTGGATCATAGTTCTCCGATTCCTCTGTGGTGTCTTCACCAGCGTTTTTAGGAATTGTTGACTTGGAAAATAGTGGTGCTGCGGCTTTAGACCAAGTGATTGATGGACTGTCATTGGTTGCCGTATTAATGCCCCATAATGGCTTGCAGTCTTTAGAGACACTTGCGCTGAGCGATGAGAAATCAGGCAAATTTGATCCGCCCAGGACTGTGTGAAATGAGACAATGGACAAAATATTAGTAGTGCGGACGTGCCCACACCCACATTAAGTGTAACTAGAACTAAGGCTAAATGAACAATCGAGCACGTCTACTCACTTTTTATTGAGTCTTACCCACAATGAAACGTAAGAATCCAGGAGCAACTGTCATTCCCATGTGTCATATTTGTGTCATTTCGAAAAGTGAGGAAAAAATGGACGCAAATGAAGAACACTAAGAGACAAGGAATGGAAGGCGATCGTCAGGTACAAGTGCTGGGCAGAGTACAATTACACCCCTGATTTCACGATGCATTTGACGGACAACCGAGAAACGAGAATTTGCAAACAAGGACTAATCAACAGACAGCCCAGAAATGCACCAGATGGCGGAACTAACGTTGCTCACTCGGCAGGCTCCCTGGACACTGGTGATTAGATCTCAGCACTCAATGGCTATATCTACGGATCAAATAGTAACGGTGACAGCGGTGAGGTGCAGTGCCGCGAACTTAGCTCTTACCTGATAAGCTAAAATTACATCCACTTGAGTCTTATCGAGTAGCGCGGTGACTCCTTAGGTTGATGTGAAATGGGTACGACAGACGGAGTGACTAATCGGTTACAGTAAGAACAAGTGGAATGTCAACCCTGACTAGTAACAGTGCACTGCATGCCGGGGCATGCAGCACCTTGCAACAGTTTAAACAGCAGCGCTCGAATATCCGTTGGTTACGACCACAGTGAGCTGTTTCGATCACATATTCTAGGTATACTTGTCGATCATCCGTAGTATAGAAGCAGAAAAAGGAGCTATTTGTGATACTTTCCATCATGAAGCTGAAGAACGCAGCTACGACACACCCCACTCATTGCACTGAACTCACATATGGCAGCCTGGGTAAAGTTTTATTGAGAATACTTCTCAGAACGAGGATACGACACAAGACAATGTAGGCAGCCAGAAGAAGGGGGATCATCAGGGCAGCACCGGATGATATTTGACCTGGGTTTCATTGACCCCACTTTGCTGAGGGCAAGTGACTCGTTGTGGAAAGATGCATGTGGGAGGCAAAAAGGATGATACCTCGTTTATCTTCACACAGAGCCACTTGGTAGACTTTACTATTATTAGCAACAGTCTATAAAATAGATTTTCAGCCATTCAAAACCATGGAAATGTAACTAGGAACATGAGTAGGTATAGCTATGTCAAAAAGTAATGAAGAATCAATACAGAACCTTTTGTCTTTTCACACACCATCTTTTTCAATTTTTCTCATTTTTAAGAAGTTAGTACTTTGAAATCGGGGGTTCACGCAGACTTGTGCGCATCGTTTCTACTGCAACCGGTTTTGTAGCAGTTTCGAGTGTTGGAAGGCATCGGCGTACCGGACCAGTAATTGAAAGACGGGATGTCAGCGATTTGATGCTTTGTAGACAGTAGCGTATATTACCAAATATAAGCCCGTCTATGGATAAGTCGACAGTATGACTTTACAATAGCAAATTTGTCCAAAGTCGCAAGTCCCTATATTAGCCCACTCCCAAAAATCTACTCATATGTGCTATTCTGTCATGTTTTTCCCATGTTATTGAGTGTGATAGTGTTTGATTCCGTATATTCTCGTTTGTTCCTGTTACTGTCATCCGTCACTAACGTCAAATGTGTAATACACCGAGAATTTTCCCCACAGAAATAATGTGTATAGTTATAGGTACGCTGCCCGCAGTGCTGCGTGGACACCGTACGAAAAAGTGAGGCACTTCAAATCCCCGTCTGGAATACCACCCGTCACTAACGATCGGTGCTGAGGGGAAATAGGGGCAGAGGTGTTCAAGCCTTAGTTCCTCTGAGGGGGAAGGTGATGTTAACATTCTAGGTGGATTCAGGTAATGGTGGAGTACTATTTGAAATTTTCTGTAAGTATCAAATCAGCGAATCTGAGAAAGGGATTGTCCATTTTCCCCGCAAATTGGTTTACTCAACTCACTAGGTTGGAACAGCGCTGTTTTACAGGACAAATACTACACTAAAGAATAACTACGCCATGGTGTGTTTATTCGAGACTATCAGCAGTGTGCATCACTACGGTTAACAAATTTCACACTTCATGCCAGGTGTTCTCCGCGAGCTATGGTGGACTCCAGCAACTCAGAGAGTAAAATACTCAACGGTAAACTTTAAGATTATATTCTTCACTGCTGGACGAATGGTATACTTGCTCCAAACCAATTCACTTAAGGTATAATGAATAAACTTAGGCCATTCACAAGTTGGTAGCAAAGAAGTTACAAGTAGACAGAATACAACATGAATAGACCCGAGATTATTACCTAACGTTCCTTAGTATTAGGTGGCTGTCTGCGAAGCAACAATGATTATGAGGACAAGTTCGTCGAATACCGTAAGGCTGGCCTCTCATTCTTCAAAACAGAACTAGTGACGGCTAAATCAGGAAAAATGGATCAACAAGTGCAATAGGTGGAAAAGCACTGCGCCGGAAATAAGTGCATACGTATCGATCGATCGAATTTTGAAACGAGGTTACATGAGGACAGAATTTTAGGCAAGCTAATAATAAAATAATAGGGCCAGTTGTACGCCGTAACACCGCTTCGCTGCCGCGCGACCACTACCAGTCGCGCGCGGGCTGAGTATACCGCGAAGACGCCCACTCCTACGCGGATTCGAACCGGTGACCTTATGCTTGCAAACCAAACGTGCAGACCACTCAGTCACCGGCCGACTTTTAGGTAAGCTAATCAGTGGAAAAAATGAGTTTTTTGGAAAAAAGAAGAATCCAAATGTCACTCCAATTCAATTGCTAGTTAGGTAATTACAGTGCTTACCGAAAGATGGAGAATTGGTAGATGAGCCGAACAAGTTCAGAGTGGTCTGGGTTTGATTAAGTGTTTTATTCGTTAGTGACGAAAGAGCAGTGATGGCATCGACTGCTTTATCGTCAGCGACTGTAACAGTGAGATTCTTGTCAGGATCGGCAACTTCAGAGGTATTTTTAATCCCATGGGGTTCGGCGGAGGTAACTGGTTGCATACTAGCACGAAAACCACGCCGGATGGCCTCATCCAACAAAGTATCTTCCTCCGCTTCTTGTGCAATATCAATGTTTTCGGAAACACCTGTGATGTATCCATTTTCAAATTTGTAAAATTCATCGGGAAGTTTCAGTTCGCGAGCACGAGCAAGCTGTTCCTCATTGACCTGTAAACAAGAGTTCAAGAAACGATGATGAGTAGTCGAACTGTCTCCATGGAAAAGGGTACCTAAAAACAAGCGACACTTCTAACTACAAAAGGGCATCTGTGGTTCAGTCAAAAATAAAATTAAAACACTGCCATCTCGTTTGCATTGCAGACTGACACTATACTTTTTCACAATTCGTTGCATCGTTCCCCCAAACTTTTGCATCGTTCACGCTTGAAGCTGCATCGCGTGCGTCATGTGACACGTTGCACTCGTATGAGCCATACTCATTGATGTTAGTCACCGTACCAGTGCAGTCGGTGGCAGGGCGATCCCGTGACCTCACGTTACGAACACAGTGCATGAGTATGGCTCATACAAATGCACACGTGCAACGTGTCACATGACGCGCGTGACCGATGCAAAAATTTGGGGGAACGATACAACGAATTGAGAAAAGGTGTAGACCCAATAGAAATCCATAACGCTGTTTACCTTGCCTCCGTCAGACAAACAGTAGACGTGATAGAGGTTTGATTATCGCGATGGATGTCGAACTATTCTATGTGATTGGATGACAACTGATATTTGAATGGATCCATGATTCCGAAGGACGTAACGGAATAGGCACTTTCACCTCAGAAGAAGATAACCATCAAATACTGTCATCGAGCGCAACAACAAAATACATCAGACAAATGCTGTTGGGTCATGTGAGGTTAAACGAATTCCGTTCACCAATCAATCTACAATTCAAGTGTAGAACAACTCAACCTGCCCTGTGGTATCAGTAGTACGCAGGTACACTGTAGCGACTTTTCGCTGCCACGCGACTACCACAGGTTGCGCGTGGGTTGGGTATATCGCGAGGTCACCTGCGTCTAGACGGATTCGAACCGGTGACCTCCGGATTAAAAGTCAAGTCACTGGTCGGTCCTATAAGATGCAGACGATCCACAGTTAGTACAGTACTAGTGGGAGCAAACGAAACGTGGTGCAAAACAGCAACCATAAGTAATTTGTATGTACCACTGTCTTCTGAATTACACAAAGAAGAGACGAAATAGTCTAACCGCAGTTATTATATGAACAAAAATTTAAAAAGATAAGGCCTAGTTTAGCTGACCATGGTTTGCCCCACCACATCTAAACAAAAACCGACTCAGGAACAGAAGGTTAGCTGAACCAATCTGCTAGCGCTGCTTATGCTGAATAAGAGCACCACCTATGTCCCTGATTGTCGCACTGACAGCCCAGTGGTTGAACTAATTGCGTGAGCCTGCGCAAGCAGTACGTCGCTCATAGCTCATTCATTTCCTGAACACTTTTGGTCTATCAAACTTGTAAGCATTGTTCTAGCTCGGGCCTGAGAGCCTGTCATATTGCAGAGCTCAATGGTAGAGCAGGGATTATTCTCCAGGATTCCAGAAGCACCATCGAGTTCACGGACATCTACTGGGCAGCGAGCTGACGACTAATGGTACCAGAATAAGCGGTTCCTGTGCCATCTATGGCGGCGGTAACCTTACGCCAATGAGTCCCTTGAGATCATGTCAACTAGACAAGTTGGTACGCAGGAAGCCCCGGTAGTCTTGCTTAGTTGTGGGTCGATGCAGTTTCTCGTTTGCCATCAGAGTGAAGCTAAAGGAAACTATGCGGCAAACGAGAGAATGGTTAGGATGGGACCACGGTTACGTAGAGATTATAGCGAGGTTGCGAATTTAGCCCCACCCCCATAGTCAGCGGTCGCCGGAAACCGAGTGACACATCTGCGTAAACTGAATTTAATGCATGGGTACAATAAACACACAATACCACAGGTATACTGCATTGGAACGAATAAAACATCTCTGAAAAGTATGGGTAGCCAATCTGCGCATCCGCAGCCATGCCATATCTGAGAAAAGTGTAGTGCGCAAAGGTAGGCAAAATCCGTGGTAGGTCTCTTCGGAAACGGCAAACAAACATTGTCTAGCGACTCTCAGGACAGCAATCGTAGCGAATGGTGACGAATGGGCTGCAGCCAGAAGTCAGTTTACGGGAATCAAATCAACTGGCAGGACCCAGTCCTGGATCTGAGAAGGACACCTACTTCATCTTTACAGATGAGTATAGAAAGGTCACTTCCGAAAACGTGCAATAAATAAATAAATAATAATAATAATAAATAATGTGTCAGCTGTACGCCGTAACGGCGCTTCGTTGCCGCGCGACCACTACCAGTCGCGCGCGGGCTGAGTATACCGCGAGGATGCCCACCCCTACGCGGATTCGAACCGGGGACCTTATGGTTGCAAACCAAACGCGCAGATCACTCGGTCACGGGCCGACGAAAACGTGCAACCGATAGCAAGTTGGGCACAGTCGTCTGGACAACATGAGACGAGGTTTCCAATATGACTGCAAGTGAGAGCTTTTATCACCTGTCCCAGGTGAAAAACGTTGGATTGTGTCCAAGAAAAGCTGTAGCGAGTAATGGTTGATGCTAAAAGACCAACGGATACTCTGGGGTGTAACCGCAGATCGTGTAATTATGTAGTAGGATAGCAGCGGTCACTGACAGGCAGGAGTATACAAGATGAGTGCTAGGGATTGAGGAGTGTATGAGAACTAGATTGATAAGAGAAATGACATTAGCAATAATCCGATATTTGTCATCCGCAATTAGATGCAATAGACAAGGTGACCAATAAAAATCACGACGTCTGATGCATAATGAAGTTAAAGTTCATTGGAAGAGCCGCATCTGTCGTGACTGCGATATTGCCGGGGCACCCAAACTGTTAATGTTCTTAACTGAGGCTCTTGGTTGAAAACCCTGACCTCAATTAGCCTGGAATACAGCAATGGATTACCGGATGGCTATTAGCTACTCGGGTTTAAATCAGAACTTAAAGAACCGAAGGTTTGAATGTGTGTAGCATATAACCACTTCCAAAGCTGATAGGAACAGAGCTCAAGAGCACGATAGTGCTGCGCACTGCATAAAAAGGTAACAAGATCGTCGCCTCGAGTCGCGATTCAGCCTCGTCGTAGACTGACACGTAACTTCACAAGAAACCACAGGATAAGCATAGTGGCACAAAAATGAAAAATGCCGTGGTCCTTTGACAACTGAGCAACGAAAAATCGATAATTTCACCCAGCTTGGCTGCCGCATAATCATCATGGAACAATTTGCAGCTAATTCACATATCGCTCAATCTAGAACCAACTTCGTGAAGCTATGTAGCTCTCTCGGTCTTTACGGTCAGAAATAGAGAAGCATAGATAAAACGGTTCTGTGCTACGGTAGTGAGATGGACCTTTCGGAATGGAGATCTAAATCGACTTGACATGAAGAAGCTCTTGCCTCAATAGCGATACATATAAGAAGCCGATTTGCATTCGGATTATACCCAATCTACAAATTAGCAATCGGTTCTAAGTTCCCAAACGGTTTAATGTTACAGACTATTGTTTCCTACGCACCATATCTCCGACCGCATGACAAAAGCGTTCGTGACGATGAGGCGTCATGGTAGAAAACTTGATAATTCTATTAGTTAGGTAAATTGGCTGCGTTAGTTTGTAGGTATGCACGGCGTGTGATCGCCCACCTCTTACTGCTGGGGACCATGGTTTGGACCCTAGAGAGTGTAAGGCTCGAGAAGTGCGTAATCGCTCAATCAACAGTGGAACGAGATCATCGACGCCGGAACATAGCAACCATGGTTTGTATCGCTCAGCGGACTGGGAACCGCACGACCAGCTTCGTGCTTGGGTTCGAACATTATGGGACCCTGTTGGAAGAAAAAACCAGTAATGCGTCCGAAGTCAACTCAGACTAATGGAAATCGCAATGATGCCATGACCAGTTGATTGTGTTTGTTTGAGTGATTGCTTGGGACGTTCAGGTTCTAGACTGCGCCTCCCCCTCCCATCCTAGTATTCGTGATTAGGAGAACACTCACGGCTATATGGCAGTGGAACACAAGCGGAAAGTACGGTTGATGAGGACAAGATCGCCATAATTTATTTTGATATTGGAGAAGCATCATAACAGACGAAAAATATTCGTTTATAACTGGTTGTTGATTATGACTCCTGGAAGAAGCCCGAGTATACTCCAGACGTACATGATGAGTGCCGAATTGCTGTATCGCATATCAAGATTCCCAAATCAAGCTCAACAGAAAGCCGACCTTGAAGGTCATCGTTGGACGTGAATGCCATGTGGGCAAAATACCACTGATACGGATTTGCCACCGCTACACCGGCGTGTCAGACTGAATGTCACTGCTCAATCTGATTCAGACAACTATCTCATAAGGTAAGTGCTACGGTTGGGTCTGAAATGATATATTAGCCACGGATTTGAGATCAACACCCGTCGTTCGAGAAGCGTGAGGTCTGGTGAGAAAACCAATACGTTGCTTAAAGGAATGATCAGCTATGCATACTAAAATGAACAAAGTTGAAGGGTAACTGACACGCAATTTATAATGGGTGTCAGTAATGTCGTAGAAAAAGACTAAAAATGTCAAATAAATTTGATGCGATTCGATAAATGACCGATGTGGCCGACAACTAGTACGCGCATTGCTGCTCAGGCCAACACAGTGTAAATAACCAGATAATCTAGCTGCAGTGAGACACAACACTGAACATTTAGATGAATCAGCATGACTTACTTCAGCTGGCATCCGAATTTCAGAGACGGTATCCGAATCTGGCGCGTCCGGTACTCGAACTACGTCCGTTGATGTTTCATGTACGATGGGATTTTCAGATGCAGTAGATGTCTGGAAACGGTCATGCGCCTTTTGCACAGCGTTTTCGAAAGCGGCACGGAATGAAGTGGCATGTTCTATGCATTTGAAGCGGACAGCGAACGTTTCCCGCCTTCCTTCAGGTTCATTTGAAAGAGAGGAATGATTTGCTGATGAATTCACCAATTCTGAAGGCGGTAATTCAGTGAAGTCGATTGCCCACCACGTCAATGCACGCCCATCAGTTGAACTCATGGGTTTTAAATTCATGCCGGACGTAATATGGTGGTTACAGCATACTTTGAGAACGTGGTCTCTCCTCATTACACATCGTACAGCGTCCGTAGATGGGGTGCGCAAAAGCTTCAACTCTCCAACACCACGTTCACGCCAGGTGTTGGAATCCCATCGGTAAAGTTTTGCTCTCTCACAGAAAATAACCTCTTCGTTTTCCTCACCAGTGCAGACTTCAACTTTTTCTGGCATCACGGACAAAACAGGTTTAAAATTAAGTTTATTATCGTCTACCAGTTCTACTTGATCAGAATCCGTTGGATTGGCAGATACCACTGAGGTGTCCTCGTTGACATCTAGATTTTTAGGCATCCCGAAACTGAACTGGAATCCAGTGGATGTTGGCTTATGCAAACTGGCAGTCAAGTCTAGATTAGTGAATACATCACTTCTCTTATTATCTAAAGCTGAGCTCTTGACTGCAGCGGGTGTCGGAAAGGAAGATGAACCTTTTCCAAAATAGAATGTGGATGTCGGCGAGTCAGATGCATCGGTGACAACTGTTCGTTCCTTTTCAGTGACGCCACGTTGAGAGCCAGCTGGATCTGCTGTCGATACGGGCAGTGGCTGGGAGCTGGCAACAAAACTGAACAAAGGTTTGCTAGGCGTGCTACAAACATGAGAAGTGTTGGATGTGGTCGAGTGTGACTGGCCAAACACGAATCCACCTGAGCTTACGGTAAGACCACCAAAGAGTGGCATCGGGGCGGACGGTCTGGACTGAATTTCCGTGGACACTCGAGAGGTTGGGTTTGCGGTACCGCAAGCAGGACATTTTGAAACCACGGCTTCGTGGCGAAGCAAACAAACAGGACAATCCCAAGAACCAGGTTGTCGAACAAATTTTGCCATCAACGGGTCATTCACTCCTGCGTCTGGCTTTTCAGACGAATTCGGCGGTTTAACCGTGTCGGAGGTAACAGGTTTATCAGTGTCTGATGTGTTCTGTGCGAGACTAACAGAACGGCTCGACTGATCCGTCTCAGAAAATGATCGGCTTTCTGGGTTAGTTAAATCTAAAGGTGCAGTGCTGCGGATGAGGCTGGTGGTACTGGGAGTGGAATGCACCGTCTCGGTAGCCGGTTCTACGACACCGTTAGCAGTATAAGCTGAGAAAGTTTTCATGAACTGTGAAAGAAGGTCGGATGATTTAAACTGAACCATAAAAGTATCATTCTTATCTTCTAATGATTCAGCACGATCGTGCACAGCCCAAATGATCACTCTGTCATCCTTATGGTGTTGAGTCACTTCCAAGTTGGGAATGATCCGTCGATTGGAGTCCAGATTTCTAACCTAAAATGGGTAATGAAATGAGGATAACGAATACGGTTTGTCAGAAGCAGACCGGTTTGGAACATAAACTCGGTAAAATAAAGTAATACATTAAAATGTACCGTGGAAAAACGAGCTTAAGAAATAACATTTAAGATACATTGTCCACTTTCGCATATACAATACATAGCTGTAGCCCATAATAGCATACACGAGAAAGCTAGAGGATATTGCATTTGGACTAACAATACACGCCTGTGACTGCTATCCGTCAAAGTACGGAGAGTTCGTGGTTTGTATGCACAAAGTAACCTCAATGTTTTCATCCACATGTCATAACGATCGCGGAAAAAGTGTTCCTTGTCATCTTTTTTCGTCTGCTGGCTCAATACAAGCCTGAAATTCATAGCAGATTCGAAAAACGCACTAGTTTCATCATAAGCACTACCAGTATATATCGCATGCAATGCGAGTGAAAAAGTGGGAACTTTCAAAGCGGCCAACCGTACTATCGCTGGAAACCAGTGCACGCAAATCGCAGTGAAACAGTGGAAATACATATGAGGCGCTAAAGTTCACTACGAATTTAAAGATCGCTTTGGAAACCTTATACGATGTTGCGAATTACTAGCGAACAGATGTAGAGGGTGAGAAACGCATCTTTTCCAATCCAACTCACTCGTGCCGTTATGATGGGTGCATGAAAGCGATTTAAACGTGAGATTGCCTCGGCGGAGCGGTCAGTTCGAATATTTTCTTGAAAGCCCCCCCCCCCAGTATATGAAATTAACGTTTCCTATCGTTTATCGAAACGGGAGGCACCGTAAACGATCGAACGAAAACAAATACTTCCGTGTACAGGTAATGTCTCTCGTGAATGACATTCTGCCACTCGTACTCGGATACGAGTGTTCAATAAGTCAAAACTTCGTACCATCAAAACATATCATATTGGACAGGAGTCAGAAGCGAAAGGTTAAGCGGAATAAAAGGGATAATTCGGATATTAAAAAATCACAATAGAAATTCTTGAAAAGCTGTCAAAATCAGATAATTTTGAAGTAGTTAACTTTTTCGATAAATGCTCTATAAAAATCCGTTATATTCACGCTAGTTCTTTTGATCCATCGCAATGAGGCTGGACCTTACCGTGGTGCGATGGTTTGTGTGCCTCAGTGATCCATTGAGCTACACTGGGTGGTACTTTTGCACCTTCAGAGCGACTCATACCAGATTGGTCAATGGTTAGAGGCCAGACAAACTCAGTCTCCTGGTCCTCCAGGTTGGGGGTTGGAAGGTTGCTCCATATTCCTAAAAGCGGACTCCTTGTAACCCAACACTAAACCCGCTGCCTTGCGGTAAGGTTTTTGGTTTTGGTTGAGAACCCTAATCGTTCTCCTGCCCAGACCTGGGCAACCTGACAGTATCCTGCCCACGCAATACAATGAATCTCAGTTCAAACAGTTTCTCGATGCTCTGGCCACCGCAAAGGATAATCAACGGTGCCCTATCTGCTGCATCGGGCAGGGTGGATAGGGGTTTGGATGCTACTGCTCAAGCCTTCCCAGCTCCTTATTCCCCTTCTTGCGATTTTTCACCCTTATCGTCCCGTGCTAGCTTCACTTTTACCCCCCTGTTTTCAACCCCCCCTCGCAATTCTCGGTCCTCCCCCATCTTGCTTTCCGAGGCTTTTACCATCTAATTTCAACTCACATGTGAACGCGGAGCGTCATTCCTGCCCTGTCGACAAGCTTATGTCCAACCAAGCCCAGTTCATCGACTTCCATTTGGAGCCCTCAATCATCCTTCAGACTGGCATGCCTCAATGTACGCATATTGCTACAGACCGGTCAACAGGCAGCATTTGCCCGAACATTAGAGACCCTCCCCATCGATATCTGCTGCTTATCTGAGACCCGCCTGCAAGACCCGAGGTCTGTGCTCACTCTGTGATCCTCTTCAGGTGACTTTCTCATGGTGCCTATCCGGTGACGATGCAGCTTCGAGCACCGGCCAAGCCGGTGTTGGTATTGCCCTGAGTCCCCGGGCTGAACTTACTTTGGTTGATTGGATTCTAATCACTAGCCGGTTGTGTGCGGTCCGATTGGCTGGCTCGTTCAAAGCTTCGAAGTCGCGCGAGACTAACAGCTATCTATTCGTCATCGCTGTCTATGCACCCACAAACTCTAGTGACGATTCGGTAAAAGACGACTTCTATCGCCAATTGAACGAGCTCCTTCGCCACAGAAGTTCGGACACTGTTTTGCTGGCTGGGGATCTGGACGCTCAAGTTGGAAAATTATCCACCGATGAACTGCATCTGGGCGGCCAACATGGTGCAAGCTCACGTAATGATAACGGTGAACATGCTCGCTTATTTCTTGCGAGCACTAATTTTCGACACAGCACCCGCCGGAGGGTGACTTGACGCCCACCAGCCTCGAACCAGCCATGGATGCAAATAGATCACATTGCAATCAGTCAGCGCCGGAGAGGCTGCATCCAGAACTGTCACTCGATTTGGAGCACATGTGTAAACACCGACCATGCACTTGTATGTGCTGAACTGCGGATGCGCTTTGGCGGACGCCCAAAACGACGTTGTGAGCGCATTGACACCATCCAACTGGCGAAATCAGCTGTTCCGAATGCTTATCAAAATACGCCGTCATGCGAGTTGAGTAAGCGCTCACTGGATGCAGTTGAAGCTCACTGGTCTCATATTCACCAGTCCTTACTAGAAGCAGAAAAATCCTCATGTGGTAAGTCTAATCGCTAACATGGATATTGGGTCTCCTCGCAGTCTCTAGAATTTATCGATGCTCGCCGGCACATTCTGGATGGAGGCGAACACAATGAAACTCGCAAAGATCTCCGAGCAAAACTCCGTGCTAGCCTGAAGAGAGACCGCGAATCCTGGTGGTCTCATCGTGCATCAGAAAGGGAAATGGCCGCTGCCCTTGGTAACCATTGTGAGTTATTCCGGCTGATCCGGGAAACGGGCAGCAGAAGACCTGGTGTTAGTGAAACTATACGTGACGAGGGTGGACAGCTTATCCACAACTTATCAAAACGCTTGGAGCATTGGACTGAGCACTTATCGGTCGGAATTGTTAGATTTCTCGCCGGGCACTGTTCGCCCCGCTCCCTGGGTTGTCCCTTTGGATCCACCCTCTCGCTCAGAAGTCGAACGTGAGATCGGACTGCTGAAGCCGTGGGACCAAATGATCTACCTCCAGCCCTCTTCAAATTCGAGGGACCTGCTCTTGTGGATGATTTATACGAATTACTAGTGAAATTGTGGGAGAAGGAAAATGTCCGAACCGACTGGAGTCGCTCCGTTATTGTTCCCATTTTCAAAGGAGGCTTACGATCGGAATGCGGCATTCATGGTGGAATCAGTCTAATCTCCATCGCCTCCAAATTGCCTGCCTCTGTCATCCTTCACAGACTGACTGGCACTCGTGAAAGCCAGATTCGTGAAGAGCAAGCTGGATTTCGTCAAAGTCGTAGCTGCATTGATCACATCTTCACTTTGCGTCAGTCGTGGAGCACCATCCCATATACTGGCGGCCCACCATTTTTTCTGTTCCTCGATATCAAAGGTGCATTCGATTCGGTGGATAGACATGCACTTTGGGGCTGTCTACTCAGAAAAGGTGTACCTGAGAAATAGGTAAATATTATCTATGCATTATACGCGCGTGGCTCAGGCACAGTGAGGGCTTACGGCAAGCTGTCATCTTCCTTTAATATCTCCAATGGTGTGCGACAAGGATGCTCGTTGTCACCTCTCCTCTTCAACTTAGCTATTGACGAAGTCATGGAAATCGCGTTCACAGGACACGACTTAGAACGTGTGGATCTGCTCCCAAGAGAACGACTTCTTGACTTGAAGTATGCTAACGATATTGGCCCTATCTGTGACAGCTCCCAGACGTGCCAAGCGGCACTGGACAGGTTAGCACTGGCTGTCAGCCGCTTCGGGCTTTGCTTTGCACCATCGAAGTGCAAAGTTTTCTTCCAAGATTGGCCTGGACCGCCTCCGCTGACTCTTGGTGGGATCAGCTAGAAGTCGTTCAAAAATTCAACTACCTGGGAAGTTGTATCAGCGCCCGTGGGATTGAAGATGAGATCACGAACCGTATAGCAAAAACTCGAGGCGTTTTTGCTAACCTTCGCCACTTTTGGCGACGGCGCGACATCACTCTCGCCCTGAAGGGTAGAGTGTACAATGCAGCGGTATATTCGACCCTACTGTACGGTTGTGAAACCTGGCCTCTTAGATCAGCGGACATAAAGAGGCTAGTTACGTACGACCACCGGTGCCTTCGCAATTTAGCTCACATCTGGTGGGAACACCGCGTGAGCAACGAGCGTGTTCGACGCCTTGTTTATGGCACAGGAAAAGGAAATGAACAGCTCAGCATCGTTATTTCACGCACCAGGCTCCGATGGCTCGGCCACGTGTTACGCATGCCAGCCCACCGACTCCCGCGACGTGTGTTGTTTGCGCGCCGGGGGTGTAGATAAAAGAAGAGGAGAGGTGGCCAAACGATGACTTGGACGAGAGGAATGAAGGCCCTCACTTCAAAGCTGGTCTTGGAGCGTCTTGGCTCCTTGGCTGGGGCCCGAAAGACGATGAACACGTTTAGCTGGGTACACTTGTTGATATGACTAGGAGCCGACCTGTCATCATCATCATTATACATGTCAGCTAGAGATGGTAAAACACCTCCGCTATTGTACCGCAATACATAAAGGAAATACATACATACAACTACAATACATAAAGGAAAAATAAATACGACAGTTGAATGCCAGCTGAGCTACCAGCAACGGATAGGCATCGTTCCGGTAAGCTACTAGCCGGCTACTAGGCAAAAACAAAAATTTAATTACGTTTTACCCTACGAAATAAGATCGTAGATGGAGGGGGAGGCTAAAGGGATGGGGAGGGACAAAGAAACTCACAGCAGGAACGCCACTGAGGTCGGCTCCTTGCCATATCAGCAAGTGTA